TTTCTAAACAATCACATCTGTCACACAAAGTGAGAAGCATGATACTAAGGACTACGCTTACTCTCAAATGAATATAATGCATAGAATTCTTAGTAAAAAGTCTTCAAACATCAGCTGTTAAAGCTGCCATTTTTGTGATCCTAAGAACTAAGCACTGCTGTCAGTCCTCATCAAAGGTGTACTCGCAGGACCGTCCTGTGAGAGTGTTAGCCCTCAGTACACTTGACACTGAGGCACAGAAAGATGCCAGGCAGCTGTAGCCTAACTCCCATTTCCTTATACTTTGTCTTGTTTTGCCCTTTTTTTCCTTGCTTTCCCTCAGACGTAACATGACCTCCCTACCTCCTTGTCCTCCCTGGGCTGACAGTGCAAGCACAGGTCTCAGGACACCTGTCGGAAGAGGGAAGAAAGGAAAAGATGGTTCAGCCTCAGACAGCTGGAAGTAAACAGAAGGAGGGTGCTTACACAGCTGTGAAGTCAGAAGGTACCTTTCGTGAGCAGTTTAAGGGTCAACTGCAAAGACAACTTCATGAGTAAAGACTGCGTTTCCTGCGGCTGATCACTGTGCTGGGAAGAGCAACACATTTAAATACCAGGGACATGAAGCACGACATTTTCAGATTGGAGGATGTTTAAATCACCTGGTCCAATCTCCTGCTCTCTCTTCTTCTCCAAAAGGGGCTGGAACTTAGAAACCTGGGGTGGCTTTTCTTTTGAACATCTAACGAGCAATAGTGAAACTAAACAGGCAATGCCACGTTTTTAGTGCAGAGAAGACATTCATTCTGCAATCCTTAGCAAATTACTGAATACAATACAGTCCTGTGCCAGACAAGAACATGACGAAAACACAGGACACGCACAGGAAGAAGCTGGAAACGCTCTGTCCCACCAAGTACCACATCACCACTGCATCCCACTCACACTCACCCCACCTTGGTTCTTCTCCCTGGGCCTCAGGTCCGCTCCCCTGGGTGGGAAGAAATGTTCTAGGAGGCACGTTCTGTCCACTTGCCACAGCTCCCCACCCTCAGCAGCCACAATAAGGGTGTTGACCCCGAACAAAAGATACACCTGGGTCTCGTCTCAAACTCACTCGCAGCCACAACCTGACCTAAGTCGTGTGCTAAAGTCATCCATATTGAGACAGAATAAATTCAAGTGTATAAATTACAACAAGATCCTCTGAGAGAAAGAGAATTGAGAACAATGGACAGCTGCCAAACAAAAATATAGATAGGCCATTGCCCTGCCCTAAGTAACTGGTGCTCTACAGACCAAATTAATCAAAAATTAATCAAAACTATGTTAGTGTTCCAGGTCACCAAACCAACTAAGTTATGAGCAGACCTTCCAAGAACTCAGGTGAGTAAGAGACAGCCCAGCTGCCCAGACAGACCAACATGTATAGCCATGAATTCTGTCTGCTTCAATTCCTTACATCCATTCATCATTACAAAAAGCCACCTAAAGTCAATCTACTGAGTTTCTATTGTTTTGACTCCCCGTCCCACCATCTAAAGAAAGTGAAATTACCGACCCATTCTTGGTCCCTCCTTCCTGCTTTCTGCTTTCTGCAGACCATCTCTGACTTAAAACAACCTTTCCTGATGAATGTGTGCTATATTTTGTGGAACAAAGCAATACCTGATTCTGGAATAGCGAGCATAACCAAGTAGGATTTTTAAAGTAAACTGTAATTTTTCTGTTTGACCCTGTTATATACAGGAAGGATTTAGGGGCAGTAGCATTTGTAAATGCATACAATATTATTGGATATTTAACTGGTATTTCTATTGGTTATTTCATAGAATGAGCACAATATCTCTATGATATAGCTCTTATTCAATATTATAAGACCACTACATCTTAAAGTAAACAGCTAACTCATATATAAAGTAACACAGTACTAAGTCACAGGCTCCTGAGATCAAAACCTGATCTCAAATATTTATTATCAAAATCTATTCTTTCATATAAATATTCTACCAACTGCTATTTCTTTCTGTTAAAATTAATTTTAGAACAAAAAGGGAATCTTGAGTTTATTGAGGCCCTTTTATAAAACAAAGTTTAGAGATATAAAGTGACTTGCTAAGATTATGCAAGGTTACCATGAACTTACCACCGTAAAAGGTAAGCCTTGCATTAATCCTAATGAGGAAACTGAAGCAAAAAGACCCAAGAGCCTTTTTCAGTATCATAATGCAACAGCTAAGAGAAAGAACAGGCGTCCAAGGCCTGTGTTCTTGACTACTGTGCTGGAGTCTGACTTTCATTTACAAATTGGATTCCTAATTCCCTTTCCTAAAATTAAGGTAAACTTAGCACTAGTAAGTCAAACATGAAAGAATCCATAACAGAAACATCAGATAAGAACCGGTTTGAAAATTCAGTCTCATTACTTCCATTGCTAGTTCGATATTTGCACTAAAATTCAAATTAGCTGATTTATGGCAATGAATGGGGACTCAAGTTTTAAACCAGAACTTTCTTCAGCACTATTAATTTCTGCACTTAGCTCACGCTTCTAACTCTACCACAGGGATATTTGTAAAACCAGTCTAACAATCAGAACTCTGTGCAGAATCCTTCTAAATTGGGACCTTAATTGTTTCTGTTTCATGAGTCAGCGAGTGTAATATTTTATCTGTTGGATTTTCTAAATGTCAATTCCATCATGTTCTGAGTACAATCATTTGCCCACTCAGTAGCCTGGGTCACTAAGACAAAACTTCAGGATTACAGTAAAATGAAGTTTCCTTATTCTTCATCTCTCTTATGAACAAATAAGAGTAATATTTTCATGGCTTCGTCAATCTGGGTATGTCAGTATGTGGCCTGTCTCTCATTTAACCAATGTCAGTGAACTATGTAAATCACACATTAGATGGTATCCTTCTCAAAATTATTTTCCAAAATAAGAAGAAAAAACTAGAAGCCCCCCAAAGACTGTGAATTTAAAACAAGAAATATCTCACATTTCTTCCTTTTACTCTCCCTGTCAGACTATAAAAAGAATATTCAGTGACCTCCATATGACTGTCCCTAAATATATAAACAACCACTCATAAACATTAACTGCAGAGGGCCGGGGCATAATTCAGCGGCACGACACCTGCCCGGCAAGCGGGTACAAAACCAAAAATTAACTGCAAAGAAAATATTGGATCTTGGACCCCACTTCTTGTACCTAATCCATTTGAGGCAAAAAATGAGTCAGCTGGGTGTTCTGGTGCAGACCCACAGTGCCGTCACTCTGGGAGGCTGAGGGAGAAGACCCCAAGCTCAAGCCCCGTCTGCGACTGTGGGATTTAGCAAGATTCTGTGTCGAAATAAAAAACAAAAAAAATTTTTTTAAAGGGCTGAGGAATTAAAAAAAAAAAAAGCTATCTCAAAATAAATTTATGAAATCGGGGGAATTAAAAAAGGCTCAATGCAAAAGCCTTGGGGTCACACCCCGGTATTATCAGGAAAAGAACGAGAAAAAGAGGAAGAGTGGGAGGAGGCCACTCACCCAAAAGGAAGTTAGAAGCCAGCCGCAGGAAGGCTTTAGGCACAGGGCTTCCGACGTAGGCCTCGGGATGCAGCAGGAAACACGCAGGCTTTGCAGCTGGTCACGGCAATTGCACAACTGCACCCACCGCTGGTGTCACACCGTGACAGCGTGTGACTAACGCACTCATGCTAGGGTCTGCTTTACTATCTCAGTTTAAGAGGCAAATGAATACTTGATTACGAAAATCTCACGGAAGAGGGTAAAAATTAGAAATTAGACTCCTTTGAGGGAAACTCTCCAAAACTGCAGGTCTCAAGGAGCCCTTTAATAAGCTTACTTGAGACTCTAACAGGTGGAGGCAGAGGTGCACGGAAATCTGTAGATGCAAACACGGGAGTGGAGTCAATAAAAAGGTTCTGAACTTTTACATGCTATGAAAATACCAAGTAGCTATGACCCTTCTGGAGCTGTATAGAGGAAACAGCCAAGTTAGTAGATGATCACACACCACCGAATACAAACCAATACACAGCAATAAACAACACAGCAGCCAGAAGGGGCAGAGGTGTGAGCACGGCCACCCAGAACTGCACAGACACCGCAAGTGCTGCAGATGCCGGTGGTACAAAGGGCAAGCTGAAGACCTGAAGACCTGGAGAGGGCCTGCGGCTACAAAAACTAACATGTTCTGTCAGAAATGTATCAGCCTTAAAACAACAAAGAGCTATGACCAGATCTACAGCTCCACACAGGTAACAGAAAAGTAAAACATGCGCTGAAAATAAATGACCAAGTAAATTCTCCTCAGGACTCATCCCGGCAGTGGGATGACACTTAAAATGAGGTGGGGACTGTGCTAAACAGTTAAGAACGCCAGCACAGCTTTGCAGCCAAGTTCCAACCAAAACAAGTGAAGTGGACACTGCAAGCTTAGAGCTAGGAGTCTGCATTTTATTCGGGTCCAAATGCTTGTCTTCAACACCAGGTCCAAATGGCTGTTGTGTGAAAACACACAACTCATTCCAATGAACCTCTTCACCTCAAAGCCTGAAACTGGGAACTTTTCTTGTTACCTATTTTTGATCACTCTTCTTGTGTCTGAACAGATGGAAAATTCCTCCTCCTAACCTAACTGAGGGCAGTCTCCTCAAATGGGAAGAGCTTTCTGGTACTGGTTTGCAAAAACTGCCTCAGTGCATTCCAACAGTGAAAGGTGGAATATTTCAGCACAGGCTGGGACAGTTTCAGATTCATCATCACCTCCTGCAAACACCTTTGACAAATACAGCCTATACGAGAGTAAGGTGACATTTTCACCTGTCCTGAAAAGAGCAACAATCTGCTGCTGGCTTTAACACTCCACCCGCAGTGGGAAGGAATTCCATGCTGCTGATAACTAAAAGTCATAGCAACGCAGCTCATCCTTAGAGTGAAATTATATAAATATTAGGGGAATTCTGTCTAGTTTTTTCTCTCAGGATAATTGTATGCAGCTAAAGAATTTTTCTTTTTTTTTTTTTTTTTTTTTTTTTTTTTTTTTGTGGTACCAGGCAGGAATCAAATGCACGACCTCACACTTGCCAGGCAGGTGCTTATGCTGCTGAGTTAAATCCCCAGCCCTGGATCTTTCATTGTTTACAATCATCCTTATATCAAAATTAGTATGAGTATTCTTAAAGCACCTGTCCCTACTTAACATCCGCACTTTCTCCTCTTTTATTTTTTTGTCCTATCTCCTCTTTCCATATACAAAAGGATACATAAATTAGTTTTGTGTGACTGCTTGAGTGAGAAGATAGGAACCCAATTCCTACGTGCTCTTAGTAACTCTTAAACAAAGCCATCTCAATGTCACAGCCCAAGAAGAGAGATGCAGAAGAACAGGAGATGGCAACAAGCAACTACAGAAAGGAAAGACAAGAAAGCAAATAACAAGGGTTTTCTTGTTATGTGCTAAACCCAAAACGTCAGTGCTACACTAATACCATAAGCTGCAAGGGATCGGCAATCCAGCTCCACTGCTTTCCTGGCAGTAGAATAGGAGGCAGAAGTGTGGGAGCCTCTGGGGAACAAAGCAGGGCAGGACTGGCAAATCTTCCAAGTCTAATCTTGCCGGGTGAGGACCGACAGTCCCCAGTGGGCCTTACAGAAGTGATGCCAGGCCTACCATCAGCATGGTGCTGGAAGCCTAAAAAGGCTACCCCGCCTGGCCACGTCCAATAGCAGTGTCACGAAACACTACCCACTTTCCTTTCCTAAGCTCTGCAGTCATCTCCATGAAGAAATGGGTGGCTTCCAGCTGCAAAGCATCTCAGAGATACATGCATGCCTCAGAACTGTCATCACCTTTCAGTCTGAGACATGCAAATGTAAGTGAGTTTTAAGTAATGTTTGTCATAGTGATTTCCACAGAGATCTTTCTCCTAGAGAAAATTATGTTTCTATTGTAAGCAGATGAATTCTGGAAAGTCACCTGCAGTTAGGGATGGAAAATCCATGAGAAACAGTACAGTGAGATAAAAGAGATGGGTCCACTTTCATGTTCTCCTTAAACCACTGTGGGACCCTAAAATATGCCACAGTGACACAGGTTTGGTTGGCTTATTTCAAACAGCTAGGTAGAGAAACTGCAAGACTGACTCTGATAGGCTGCCCTTTTGTAAAAGAAACATCTGTCTACCTCCTTGAGCCAACTGCACAGGCTGTCCTGTCTGATGTCACCATTGCTGCCTAAGAAACATCCTCTTTAAAGACACCGCAGCACACCCTCATAATCCCAACTACCTGGGAAGCCGAGGCAGGAGGGTTGCCAGTCTGGACAACCTAACAAGATTGTATATATCTCAAAATACAAATTTTGAAAAGGGGTGAGCAGGTAGTCAGTGACAATGTTCTGGTTCAATCCCCAGTACCCTCCTAAAGTATCATATAACATAATTCACAATCATTCCTTTTAATAATTAGTGCTTTTTTTTTTTTTTTCTTTTGGTATGAGGGATTGAACTCGCAACCTCAGGCTTGCCAGGCAGGCACTTACACAGCTGAGATAAACACCTGGTCCTAATTAGCTAGTCTAAATGTATTATTTTATCCATAAAGGCACTGTGGCCTGAAAGGAAAAGCCATGTGTGAATCACAGAGCAGGCTCAGAAGTCTGCCTTTCTGATTTCACTGGCACGGTCTGTCTGCTGACCTTAGCCGACTGCGCCATGGGGCAGACTGCTGGTGCAACACCCACTCTCCCTGCCATACACGTCCACACTCCGCAACACCCTTGTTTCTGTACTTCTCACCATCTTTTCTTGTCATTTCAGGCTGCACCAAGTACTGCATGTTAAATATTTTATGAACCATGTCTAATCTAATCAATAGAGAAACCCTATGACATAAGATTCTTCAAAGTAGAAATGGCTAAAATAAAATCAGAAAAGGAATAAGAAAATCCAGGCTATGTGCTGCTAACAAAGCAGTGAGTCTTAAATTCAAGTTTTCAGACTAAATTGGAAACATATTATTGCCTTTATCTAATGCTGCTCCAGCCTAGCAGAGTCTCATACTGACAGTCAAACTGCTACAGCTGGTGCCCATCCACATGTCTACCCTCGCTTTTCACACCCTTTACCAAAGTACCAGACTTCCCTGGGCCCCTTCATATGGTATGAATGTACTAAATTATGAATTAGTGGCTTTGCCTTGCTGAGATCACAGTGTCCTTAAAAACAAAGAATGAATAAGTTCCATAATGGCTACCGTGGTGGTAGGAACAAAATACAAACTCAGGAATACCTGCAGACCACACTTACCACCGCCAGCACAAACTATTACTATACACTATAAATACCAGACACAGGAAAGGAAGAAACTGGAAAAGTTGTAATAAGAACTGAAACATCCGACAATTTAAGCAACAGGATGATAGATCGTAACGACAATGATAAAAAGGAACTGGCTTAGGACAGGCCTGGAAAGCTAGACATCAGCAAGCGCTCTTATTTTACAAAGTGCCAAAGGAAGGCCACCAGAAGCAATGCAATAAGAGTGATGAAGAATTGGAATAAGCATGATCTAGTATTACGGGGCTGAATGAGTAATCCTACACACACAGAACTGGTAAAGTGGGTCTAGATGTCAGGGAGAGTGGAGTAGGAAGCATGCAAAGTAGCAGAGAATGGAGATTTACTCCGTCCTGCACCCTTGAAGATGAAATGTTCTGCTCTGCAGTGCTCAGCGTAAGACAGGGAAAAGGCCCCCAGGTCCTACTGACCTTTGTATGTCATTAAATGCCAGAACACACATTTTCTTTTTCTTGTGCAATTTATACCTTACCAGCAATTCTCTAGCTGTTCAGAATCTTAATAAAACTACAAATATCTTTTAATAAATTGCAAATATTGCAATTTTGTCAGCAAATGAAGAAAAACTACACAAAAGAAATGACCCAAGAAATTTAAAACAATGTGGCTAAGGCTGATCAGTGAGCAAAAGAGTCAAACAAAAGAAAAGCAGGGAAGAAAGCTAAAAAGAAACCCTGTTGACTCTCCCAAAGGATAGTCTCTTAACTGGCGATGCTCACTGTTAGGCAAGCAAGTAGGGAACCCAGCATCTTTCCAGGTTGCACCGGCAAAGTGTTAAGCTCCCGAGGTACATTCACAAGAGGTAAGAAAGGCGAGAGGGTTCTGTGGCACGACAACTCCTTTCAACGAGTTAACATTGACTTTACTTGCCTTTTCTGCTAGCATTTCTATAGACTCGTGCACTCTAAGAAGTTACAAGGGTATGACATACTTTTCCTTCTTTCTGTTTTTGTGATGATGAGGATCAAACCAAGGCCATGCAGGTCCTATGTCATCACTCGACCACTAAGATCATTTCCTAACCCTATGTTAAGTTTCTAAAACATATTTGATCATAGAATTTTTTAAGGTCATCTCATGAGAACAAATTTAGGAGATAATGAATGAAAAAAATAAGAGGTCAAATGGCTGTCCTTAAAATTTCTTAGCTTACAAACAAAATTTATAAGAAAGACCATACACTGTATTCCATCAAATATATTCCATCACAGACTTTATTTTACTAAGTCTAAGATGATGCTGATTATAAAATCCAGCATTATATTTAACATACCATTAAGGAAACATGCTGCCAATTAAATCATGAGCTGTCATCAGTTGTAGAATGTGTCTCAATTTTAATCTACAACTACAAAAATCACATTTAGAGAAAGGGCTCAAGTCTGTGTAATGTCTATTGCCCTATATTTTTCTATTATATAACTAGATCAAATGTTCTTCTTCAGCTTCTGTAGGATAATGTCTGAGGCTCACATCAGACAGCGCGGTAACATACTATCACAGGTCGCTCCCAGTGCTACTATACAGATACTGCCGAGGACTTTAAAGAAGCTGTTATCTCATGGAGCTTCAAGTTACACATTTCACTGTAGATGAATCATGCCTGTCTTACAGAGATTCTGGAGTTTGAGAGGAAATAATATATAACAGCACGTAAGAGCTGCTACACACTTATTTGTGAGTTCTCTTCTCTGTCTTATTTTCCCAGTGATTCACCCTAACATTTTATTATCTTGCTAGAACACACTAGCTCTCTTCACCCAAAATACTTCCCTGCTCTTGATTTCCTCTAGGTTAGTCTTCTGTAAACATGAGGAATGCCTAATCAATCCCCCTATGAAAAACCAGTATCTAAGTGAAATACTTTCTTTCAAACAAATATGAGCTCAAGTTGAAAAAAAAATTATCTTTAATGACTTTTTAAGTTCAAATTATTACAAGGTAAAAGAATCATAGCAAGTCATATAATTTTGTACTAGTACATAAAATACATAATGACCAAAAGGAAAGTATACTCTTATATGACAAATCAGTACACCGCTAGTGTGTGAACCAGTTCTTCGGAGCATAAAAGGCTTCTCTTGCTGCTGATAAATTAACAAGATAAAAAGAAAAGCAATTGTGTTGAATATTTTTAAGGGGGGGAAAAGACACCAAACAAGGAAGAAATTAAACCCAGATGATATGGGTTCATAAAAGACCTCTTAAAAAATCAACATGACAACTACAAGTCTATTCAGTAGATTTAAAAAAATTCATAAAGCAAAACAAAACCTAAATATCAAAGAACAATTAAGCAAGTTGCCAAAGGACAAAGTGCTTTGGTAGGATGTCAATCAGAAGCAGTGAGCTGACAACTGTGCCTTAATTAATTTTGAAGCTGTTTCCAATTCGTTAGTATGGAACACCAGAGGCTTCATGCTGCCTGTGACTCAGCGCCTGACTCATCCACCAAAACTGTCCTTACACAAGCACTACCCAGGCACCGCCAGGATGCAGGATCAAAAGGAAAGAAGGTTCACCAGCCTGCATAGTTAAAGCCCTGTGATAAATTTAGATGACCGGAAGGATAAGGAATAACTTTCCAAAGAGCTTTAAAGAAATAGCTTGAAAAGTTCGATTTGTTAACAAATAATGAAAATGCATTGGTTTAGAAAATCGATTTTTGCAAATATATTTTTAAAAATACACTTGTTTTTAAACTAAAGGGTATATACAATAAAAACCAATATTAAAAGATTCTATTAACTTGACCTGATCACAATAAATTACCCCATATTACCTGACTCCTTAAAGTAGAAGTGGAAACAAAATGTAGACACTTAAAATCATCGTATACATTTATGTCATTTGAATTTTCTTCGATTTATTTTAATTTAATTTATCCTTAGTATGATCAATGAGTGTTAACTTTTAGGGTGAATCTAAATGTTGAAATGTTCTTGAAAAAAATTCAAAATGTAGTATGAGTAAGAGGGCAATAATTAGCTTTTTCTTCCCTTTATTGCCAACTTTGTCTCTGCCTAAACTCAGTTTGTTAAACAACTAAGTTATAATACAGGCAATTATTTTCACAAGTTTGGAAATTCTTTCAAGTTCAGAAAATGGGCAGAGGGTTACAGAAAGGCAGAACCGAAAGGCTACTTCCTGAAGGGAAAACCAAAATAAAGGGATGTCCACAGGTCCAGCAGGGCTCTGCTGAAGAGTCCAGAAGATCCAGCGAGATAAGGTTTGCATCAAATCCGTTCCCACAGACAATCGATGAGTCCCATGTTACAGATGTCTACAAACTCCTAAGACTCAAAACCTTTGCGATGACTTACGAGGATAAATAAGCCCAGCAAATAAAGGAAAAATGGAGCCAGAAAGGAGATAAAGGTGGAAGAAGCTCAAAATATATGAGTGCAAGGGTGGTGTAACTACAGACTCCTGGAAATGTAAGACATAAATGAGTCTTACACAGGTTGACCTCAGACAGAAGCATGAGTGGGGGCAGCACTCACCATGTACACAGGGAATCACTCAGGACACACAGAATGGAGGCAGAGGAAGTGGCCCGGCGAGCTGGGCACACGGTGACCACGCAGACTCGGGCTGCAGGGCTGCGCTCACACCTTCCTGGCTCTCGGCTTCCATTTCACCCTGGACTCACTTCCACTGCTTTTCCTACGGCTGGACTGACTCCGCAACTTTATAGCTAACCTGGAGAACGCCTTGTTTCTGCTCTGGAGTCATTGCGGTTCTTACCTCGAACGCATAGCCAGTGACCTCGCCAGTCACTGCCACGTGCTGTCCTTGACAGCCAGTGCAACTGTAACGGCCAGCGTGCTGTCCGCTTCTTCTTGAGTGTGAGTGGTGTGCGTGTGTGTGTGTGCACGTGCTGGAGTTCAAACCAAGGGCCTCACAGTGTCTCTTTCCTAAACCACAAAACCAAACTTCTGATGCCACTGTGGAAAGCTAGAATTTGTACGTTTCCTATGTACAAATTGGGCTTGAACAGACACTTCAATGGCACACTGAGTGTGCTTCCTTTCACCTTCCTGGTAGACACCCACAAATCCTAGCAGGGCAAATAAACTTTCTTACAAATGCACCTTGACAAAAAGAAAACATTTCTATCAGTCCTTATCAGGAAAACACAGTAAACTATCACTTCGTCCTCTACCCCTGCAGTGAACCCAGGAGTTAAAAGCAGGTTAGTTTTCCTATCCCTCACTATAAGCCACGGAGTAACAGCAAAGCAGCACTCAGAGAAAGCAGTCCTGGAGGGCACACCTGATGCAGCCCAGCTGCACCACAGTTCGTCACAGTCTTTATTGTCCCTAGACTTTTTACAGGTACTAGATGGCAGACTGCTCAAAGTCATAATCCCAGAACATGGGGCAGAGCTACTTCACTAAAGAGCAAGCCTTTATTTCCGGACAGAGACCTGAGTAGGGAGCATTTGCTGATACACACATGGGAAACCTAACCAGGGCAGCTGTCTGGACTAATGAAGCAGGTGCCTACTGATCCTGCCATATACAAAACAGACAGGGTTTAGGACAGGACAATGCTGAACCTAACTCCCTTCTTCTCGGAGGTAAGAATCTGTTAGGGATCACAGGCATCTGAATAATGTCAGCAAGAGTAAGAACGATAATAGGGGTCTGCACCGGCTGGAGAAGAACCTAACCTGAATACCAGAAAAGCTCTCCCGAGAGACCCGCTGAGGCCAGGGGCAGGAGGCAGCTCAGGAGCTCCAGGGCACGGCTGCATCTTCATCTCCTCTGGGCACTGTGCCCCAACCCAGTTACTGAATGACGGAGGTGCCCAACAATCAGAAACTCATTTTGTCTCAGTGCCAAAGCACAACTTCCTGGAACCTGGCGAGTGTCTTTAATTACACACTGATTACTCACTCAGGTGACAAAAATCACTGATGTGCTGCTGTCCCCAGTGGTCCTGTTCCTAAGCCATCAAAAGGACATCTGGCTTTGTGTTCCAGTTTCTTTCCCTGCCCCTACGCAAGGAAAGTCCCATGTTATAAAAACAGGAATAAAGAGTCAGGAACAACAGACGAGCCATGGATCACCAAAAAGGTAGCATGGATACAAAGAGTGGGGTAACTTCTTCCAGAATTTTGAAAGAAACCACAAAACAAAAAGAAAGAATGGAAAAACATGAAGACAGAGTGTGAGACAGGGAACAAGAACAGCATGAGAGTGGCATGGGGGATGAAGTCACCTTCATGTGTTTTGGAGGCACGTATAAAGGATTTGCACTATTTTTGAAATACGTAACTGTTATTTTATTGGATTCTGTTCTTTTGGCTAACTACCCCCCAAAGACTGTATTGCACAGGATATGCCTTAACCATTAAGCCTAGCAAATTTCGGTCCTAAGCTCAGACCTCTTTGAGGTGCTGAACTGTACATCTAACTGCTTCTGAAACTCCAGTTTGGATATCTGAAAGGCATTTTTTTAAAATGGTCCAAAACAAAATATGAGGTCTTCAGAGAAAAAAAAAGTCCTCATCCTTCAAAGGACGAGACCCAGACATTATTAGGTCAGGAGCTGTTTATGTCACACCCACCGCCTTGCACAGCTCCCCACCACTGCATTTAAAACACTACTACTGTATTCCAAACCCATTTTTCAATAAGCACACTGCTTTTTAACTCATCTCTTTGGTTTATCTACTTTTGCACAACCCTCCCCTAGGCTACCAACTCTGAACTATTCTCCACAAGGCAATCTGAACGTTCTTTACAAAACACTACCTAATCTAGTTATACTACTCTCTTGCTCAAGACTCCTCCGTGAACTCTCTTTTAAAATACAGACTAAAATTCACAAAATGGCCTCAGGCCTAGCATTTGCTGGTATGTTTTCATTTCCTCCATGTGGTACACATTTTGCCATACTGGTCTTCAAGATCTCAAAGCACTCTACCAAAAACAAAACAAAACAAAAAACTCTGCCCTACTTTTTCCCATCACAGGGTGGTGTCATGCACTGTGTACCCTATCAGGATTTTTTCTCCTCTTCTGTGAGTAAAGGATACTGGATTTTTCCTTAATTACCATTCCGTCTGTCTATCTATCTAAATGACACAAGGACTCTCTAAATTGCCTCAAGCTGGCTTTGAACTTGTTACCTTCCTGTCTCTGCCTCCCAAGCAGCCAGGATTACAGACACATAAAACGTGTGCCACCTCGCCCACCATGCCCAGTTCCTCTTAGATTACTGTCAAGCAATAGCCTATTAGGATTTTGTTCCTTGTATTTTTTAAAAATATCACCAATTTTAAATTATTATTTATAAGATACAGAAACTATTAAACTTCTCATGCATGATTATTCTAATAAGTCTGTGGACTTACAGCTATAAAATAAACACTGAAAATCAAACTATGCATCTTCTCTTCACTCATACTAACCTCTGAAGAATAAGTGCTAATTCACTACTCTCACTTCAAAGTAAACATCCCCGCATTACAGGTAATACAGTGCAGAAACAGAAACTCTGGAAACATGACTTTTGCATACCTCTGCAGAAGCCTGTCCACGGTGGTAAAAACACCCAAAGATTGTTGGATACACTGTATTACCTATCAAAGATGAAGGAATAACTCCATCAGGTACTACCGACCACACAAAGGTGAATTTTCAATGTAAAGATCATTGGAAAACTTATTTAAAGGGTGCCCCCAAACTGAATTACAGTTTATGAAGCTCTCATGGGGGGCTCCCCTGGGGTAACTCTGAAAGCAGCAGAGCCAGCAAGGCTGTGCTCAGAGGCACAGCCTTGGCTTGGCGTAAAGGCCCTGTGTTTGCCAACACAAAGTGGGGGAGAAGCAGCTGAAATTAAGTGATTTATTTTTGAGATTATGAGAAAAAGAGAGAACAAATTATTTTTTACCAGCCTAGAATATAAACTAAATGAATGATGTGTTAAGTTTTTGCTGCTGTTGTTTGGTTTGTTTTTTTGGTGTCAGGGATCAAACTCACGACCTGGTGTTTGTCAGGCAGGCACTTTCGCCGCTGAGCCACATCCATGGCCCGAATTACTTTTGACGAGATCTCTAATTTTCTCCCACGCAAGTGATAAGCTCTGCAGTGACGTTACGGGCATGCTCACGGCACATTTTCTCGTTAAGCCACCTTTCTTCCACAGTAAAACGTGTAGCACCTTTTTGGAACAGCCTCCATTGGCCAGACTTGGTCACATCGGCCTGCTGAAGCCATACTGCTGACCGGCGAGGCTCACAGGGGTGAACTGCTGCAGAGGAGATGATTCTTCCAAAGCAACCAGGATTATCACAATTAGCCAAAAGTGATCACACTCCAAGTTCATCAGCTTGGATAAGAGATGACAATGTGATAACACCTTCATGGATTGCACACTTTTTATACACCTGGAAATGTTCACAAGCAAGCATTTATTTACAGCAAGAAAAAAAGAGAAATAAATGTTCACGTAGCATTTGTACCTGTCTTTGGATGAAAAGGAATATTTAAAAGTGCAGCAAAAAGAAAGGCAATGGTAATTTAGTTTTAAAAATGATGCTAAAATTACGCTCCCACAAATCCAATTCAGAATTCGTACTTGGGCTACCAGATGGCAACATGACAGGCACCCAAGGAGCCCAGAGTTGGGTGGCCTGGGGAGGGGGCACTGTGACTGGCAGGTGGAGGTGGAAAGGAAATTGCCACCTGGCACCACAACAACTTTATACCAAGGCTCTACCCACAAGCTGCTGCTGGGGGATGGTGACTCTGCCTCTGCTGCGTGGCCTGTCATACTCAAGTCCCTAGACACACATGGTGGGACTTTTCTTTGTGTGCTCATTCACAGAAGGCTGTGAGGGACGCTTCTTGCCCCAGCCAGGGACACTTAATGTGAGCACCTGCACACATTGCGGTGACTTGAGAGAGCGGATGGCATCAGAGGAAACAGGTGTGAACGGGGTGTAGGAGCCACAGTGCAAAGCTCAACCACCCTCGCCCTGTAGGACTCGTGATGTACATTTATGAGGGTGCAGGGCCGCAAAAGCAACAAAACGAAACAGTTTTTCATATTATCTAATGCTTTTTTCCCAAAAAGTTGACCCAAATAGTTTCATGGACTTACAGGACAGTGTGATAATTTGATACATGTGTGCAGCAGGTCACAGTCAAACGAGGATAACGAGTATTCCCCCTGAAATAGTCATCATTTCTTCATATGGGGAGCCTCCACTCTGCTTCTTCCAGCTTTCTGTGAAACACCTCAGCCACCAGCTGTTCTGTGCGACACTGCAAGTCTTTCCTTATACCTGACTGCAGTTCGGCGTCCCTCACCTGACCTTTCTCTCATCCCATCTCCTTTCCCCTCTGAAACTCTGCTAATCACCATCCTACCCTACAAGGTCAGCTCTCTGCAGCTTCCGCTGAGGGATGAGAATGCAAAGTGTTTGTGTTTATACACAAGTCCTTTTTAGGAAGATTGAATACAGATTAAATTTTCTAGGAAAGTGACTTGAATAAACAGAGAAGCACTTTACCAAGAATATCTGTCCATTTCAGAAAATCAAGTCACATTTAGCAAAGTCACTGTCGTATTTAGGTGGTGAGCACAACGTGACTCTGTCAGCCTACACAGGCAGATGTTATATCACAGTTGCGCTGTTTATAAACACAAATCTCCAGCAAGATGCCCGGTTTGCGTCTCATCACCCTCAGCCCTCAGCAGCCAAGTCACTGTGCACTGACAGCCTAAATTCTCAGACTTCCTTCAACCACATGTGCATCCTCGCTTGGGCTTCTGCCTCTTCTCACCACCTCCCACCGTGCTCCTTGTAGGCTGCCTCGTTCTTTATGAGTCAGTCATAAAAGCAGTAGACACACATTTTACGGAGCATGCATGCAGTATCAGCCCTATCTGTTCTAACCGCACTGCCCTCAGACACTGATTAAGCCTCACACGACATGGGGACCATCGTCATCACCACTTTGCAGGAAAACATCAAGCACGGAGACAACGGACTTCGCTTTGCTCAGTCAGTGACAATGTTCCAGATGGCCTGCTTATTTTTTTCTTCTCTTTTAATAGCCAAATAAACTTTACTGCAACTTTTGTAGAATTTACTTTCAGCTGCAAGACATGTTGCATAGGAAATTATTTAAAGCCCATGAGAAAAAATACTTATGGCTTAAGGTGCAACCAATTTTATTTCCTTGAAAAAAAAGGTAAGAAATGATCTCTGGGTAAAATGAAGGTGAAGGGAGGGGCCTCATGTGATACAGCAAAAATACCTAGCACCTCTGTTTAGTCAACTGGTCTTCAGTGTCTGAATCAATAGCCATTTAACAAGGTTTTAGGCCAAGAAAAAGATTATGAATTAATTAAAATAAGTAATTAAAATGTTTCCAGACAGCAGTTTATGAAGATGAAATCTAAGGACTTCATGTGGTCCAATACCCCTCAGTGGCTAGCACAGTACTAGGGTCCCTTGTACCGCACATCTGCTGGATACCAGTCCTGCCTTCTGCTCGCTTCTGAAATCTCACAGCTACCAGCCCATAGGGACTCCACAGAACATGACCCCAGGGACCTACAAACCTAATTGTTCTTAAATGCAACGCTTAGTGCTACACTCCTGGCTTTATGTGGGAAACAGTCGTTTTCAGGAAATGTTCAACCTGGTCTTTATCATGTAACTAGAAAACATCTCTCCTACCCTTTCATAACCATGGAGACATGGGCGTTCCAAAGAGAAAATGGTGACATCTGAGATGAAATGAAACACAATTCAGCAAAGGCAGCTGGTACATCGGCCGCCTCAGCCAGTATCAGCCAGGGTCTCTGCGGTAGGCACAGGAACTCGGCTGCCTGCACAGCAGCCTCAGTCCGCCTGTCTTTGTCCACCTCCCCACCACAGGCTCTGCCTCAGCAAGCAAACCTCCTCATGCCTCGCTCCTGCTGTTGGTCAGTGCCCTCAGGGACTCCTCAACCCGAGCCAGCCTGGAGCCCAGCAGGATCACCAAACTGCTTCCTGTCCACCAGCAAAGCGCTGATGTCAGATCAATGTCCACGCTGTTTCTTAAAGTAAATTACACAGAAAATGGCAGCTCTACCTCCTGCAACCCTTCTCCCATCAGGATCTTCCTCAGCCTCCATGCTGCCATGCACCCTGAACAGTCTTCTACCTCACCATGAAAAGACAGCTCTGCAACTGGATCCTCAGTCCTTCTAACCCATCCTCTACAAAACTGTCCTCCTCAGACCTGTTGTCACTGCACATCCCAGAGGAAGAAGTGACTCTTCTACTCAGGGCCACGATGTCAAGCCTGTGTCCATGAGTCAAGATGCTTCTTCGGCCTCCATCAGACATTCTTCCCTGCACATTCCCTTGGCGCCTGAATGCTCAGGAAAGTGAATGTCTGCTTCCTGTGTACACACGTCCGTACACAGTGCGCATGGCCTGCCTCGGGCTTGCTGCCATCTCTCCTCAGTTAGCCAGGAAAGAGCTCCTGAAGTCCCTATGCAAATAAGGCCAAGTGGGCGCCAGGCAGGAGGCCATCCAAGCCATGCATATTCTGGGTTTGGGATTTACTGCCTAATGTCTTTCAGCAAACCCCGCCCCTCACGTGTGTAGAGCTATGGAAAATTTAACCAGATGACTTTGCTAGATGAGGACCTACCATGAAAGAAGCACCTGTCCCCATCCCAAAACAAGCACTCAGAAACAGAGTTAGGTGGGGAAAAATTAAAATTAACTCAGAGTATCACTGTTATGTAAAACAGAGTAACCAGTAATTCAAAATTACCACCTCAAATAAACCAAGAAGTCTAATTCACCAGCACCCTGGGAGGCCGAGGTAGGAGGATCACAAGGACATGCACAGACTGAGCAGCTTAGGGATTCAGGGAGAGCCTGTCTCAGAATAAAAATTTAAAAGGGTTGGCAATGCAGCTGAGTGTTTAGGCCCGAGGTTCAATGCCTAGCGCCCCAAAAAAAGGGAGAAAAGTGAACTAAAGCTTACCCTTCAAAAAGATTAGAGTACGAGAAATTTTTCCAAAAAACAAAATAAGAAGTTACAACAGAGGAAAAGTAGGAAAAAATTATACCCATTAAAACAGTATCTATGACATGCAACAATTTTAATTTAAAATCAAACATATACACTAAAAATGGGTTTACTGTTTTCTCATTTAACTACTTAATTCTTCCAATTAAGCTTTGTCACAGAGACACTGCAAGTCATGTCACAGACTTGAAATACTGGGATTAAAATTTTTTCCATAGGTAATTATAAAAGCAAATGTGTCAAATCAGTTAACTTGAGCTCGAAAATTTAGCACAGAATACACCAAAAATGAGTCAAAATTTAGGATGGATAACTGTTTTTCTTTACCTAGTTACAAAAGGACGAGAATGGTACCAGTCTACACACAGATCACACAGGAGGTGGAGAATCAGACACGCCAATCATCTGTCACTCCTGATTTGCAAGAGTATGGTCACCGCAAGCAGAACTTACTAGTCTCTGATGTAAATGTCTCAAAGACTTTGTAATGCCTGCATAGAATACATCTTGAAACAAAATGTTTCTTTGGTATGCGGCCCTAGCCTCTTTTCTGTTGCTAGAGGAAAATACCAAATACCAGGTCATTTATAAAGTTTATTTGGCTCACTGTTCCGGAGGCTGGGATGTCCCAAGAGCATGGTAGTGGTGTCATCTTGCCTTTGGTGAGGACATTCTCCAGCATCATGACAGCAGAGGGCACTGCGTGGTGGGAAAGAGCAGGCATGCCTGGGTGGGCCCCTCTCCCTGGCCCCCCACCAGACTGACCCTAGGAATGCTGAGCTACACCCGGCTTGACTGCCTCTTTCTTTCCTCCCCCTCCCTCCCTCTCTTTCCTTCTTCCTTCCCTCCAATCCTTTTCCTTGCCTGGAGAGCTATACATATCTGTCTATGTATGTATGTACGTATGTATGTATGTAACTAGCTAACTATCTAACTTGATTTGAGACAGGAGCTCACTAAGCTGCCCAGGCTGGCCTTACACATTCAATCCTCCTGCCTCAGCTTCCCCAGTAGCTGGGATTACAGAAATATACCATCACAACCTAGCCTTCTACCTCTTCATAAAGCCACTAAGACCATTATTATGATTTCATCTAATCCTAATGACCTCCCAAAGACCTTACCTATAACTACTATTAAGATACAAGTTTGAGAATTAAGTGTTCAATTCAGGAACTGTAGGGCATTATGTTCAAACCACAACATACGCTATCAATTGTGTCTTTAAGTTGGTAGTTCCCTGGGGAAAGTTTTAGAAAAAGCTATATGATTTCTACTACTGACATGATGCTGCTGAAATAAATACACCAATACAAAAACATAAAACATCTCTCATCTCCACTCTCCCTGTTGAAAATCATCAATCTGCATTTGAATCCCTTGTACAAGAAGCTGGCTGCGCTCATTAGTGAAGTGCTTACCATTGTGGCTATCTTGTTTATATGGAATTTTGATGCCCGGGATTGTACACAAATCTCGGATGCTAAGTCTGTGTTCTACCACTGAGCCACATCCTGGTCAACTTAGACTGGAGGAAAACCCAGACTTTCCCCTCAAAATCATGATCCCTACTCAAGGATAGACTCAGACACCACTTGAAGGTCAGTTAAAATGGGGGTGTGAGCTGCAGTTTTATTATTTCTGTTACAAAGCGAGGCTAAAATCAACGCTATAGCTAAGCGCTGAGGAAATCAGACAGTATGGAGAAGACAGAGAAGTCTGCTTCCTGAGTGCTCACGCCTTTTTCCTTCAAAGTACCCTCTTCAGTTTTCTCCCCTATGCTACCCTTCCTGTATCCTTTTCTAACCACCCCTCTCTCTGTCACTTAATGGCATTTGTCAGCCTATACCTTTGAGCAATTTCACGTCCCACTCTGTCATTAAAAATGAACGGTTTCCTGGTGAGAATGAGAGATCAAGTAAGTGGGTATGAGCTCTGCCACGGCCAGCAAGCCGACCAGGGACATGGCATGGGCCCTTCTGCAGCAGGCTGGGCAGGCAGCAAGGGCACAGTGCTCTCCAAGGACTGGACGGGCATAGCCTCAGGGCACAGGAGACACCAGGTCACGCTGAATGCTGTAGGGTGTCTGTATAGACCTTGAAGCTCTCACAGGCTGAGCCTCAGAGCTAGAAGTGCCCAGAGGACAAAAACCACCCACTGTTTTTGTGGGTGGAGCCAGAGGCACCGAAGTCCCACAAAGTTCAAGCAAGTCAAGCACCAGCAGAACAGAAGCACTAGAGACACTTTCCATCCGTACTTCTATGTCTAACACAACACCTTGAGCAAAATACTACTGAAACCCATACTAAAGAAAAGCGCAGGAAATAGTAGCCAAAAGTGCTTTACACAATCAAATCATACCCAAAATAAAATCTTATAGAGGTCTGTATTGTTACCATTAAAAATACTCTCCCAGCCACTGGCCTCAAGTGGAAAATTCTCCATCTTTATGAATATATTTAATATCTATAATTTTTTTTGCTTTCCATAATCAAAAATGAATACCAAACAGATTAGACTTTAACTTGGAATTTAATTATAAATATAGAAAAACACTGTATGTGACACAGCAAGTAAGCAAGGAAAGGATAAAATAAGCATCTAAATGAGTATATAATGTGAATGAACAACATTTCAAACATTGAAGATTAAAAAACAAGTACAGAATCTATAAAACGATAAAAATACACATACTTTCTAAAATAACATTCATAAAAATCTTGAAATGCATAGTGTCCTTGGTAAAAGGTGCTGGTTTCACCAAAGGGAAATAACCAGCAGCATTATACACACACACAGTACAGAATAGCTTAAGACAAGTCACCATTAGGCTTTGTAACTTAGTTTATTACAAAGTAACATTTTAAGTATGTTATTACAGCTGAGTAGTTTGTTATGTGAGAAGGCAGCACAAGACGAATGAAACAAAATGTTATAAGAACTCAAAAGGTCAGGTACACTTCCTACCACTCTTCACAAAAACAATACAGGACTTAGAAGAACAATAGCAAAGGCAGAATCAGCCTCTTGCAGCGGCTGTGATTAGACTATTGATCAGGGGCTAATGCTGACCTAAATAGAGAGCAGCTGGTAGGCAGGATGACTTGGATGACTCACAGGACCTTGCTCCAGCGGAAAAACCTCACTTTTTTCTCCTTCCCCTGCCTGACTTCCCATATAGAAGGAGCCCTTGCTGTCTTAGGTCTTCGCTGTTTCCTGAAGCAGAAGGATGACTCCCAAATATGCAAGGGTATCATTTTTCCTCCACCACGGAGACACATTTATCTTTGATACGATTTGGACCAATGATTTCTTTTCAATACACTTTGTTTTTCAGGGCAATTTTGTGTTTACAGGAAAATTTAAAGTTTAGCAACTAATCACAAACTCTGTGCCACTATAAAACTGCCTCCTCACAAAAAGTTGCTCCGTTATATCCATGTACGGACTCCCCCACGATAACTGTACCCATGAAGTATTATATCCATGTTAAAATAATTTTTAAAAACGAAGCATCCCCAACATTAACAGCCCCTAGGTGAACCAGGGTGGAGTATTTCTTAAACTGAGGAAGTGATCTGGATGGACATCTTTGCAGTGATGTGTACTTAACAGATTTGGACATATAATGGTACACAGAGTAGTTTCACTAACCTAAGTTTCCTCTGTGTACTGCTGATTCACCTCCCTGACATCTTTTCAGTTTCCATATTTTTTTTTTATTTTTCCAATATGTCATGGAGTAGGAACCCACCAAATTTGCCTGTTTCTAATTGGCTTTTGCAGCATAGTAATCTCCACTTAGTTTCTTGCACTTTTTTTCATTGTTTCAGAGCTCACTTCTTTTTAGCACTGAATAATATTCCACTATCTAGAAGTAGCACACTATTCATTTACTGAAGAACATGTGGATTTCTTACAAGTACTGGTGATTATGAACAAAGTTGTCATAAACACAGCAATTGGTGTAGACTTTGTGTGGCCATGTTTTCAGTTTCTCTGGGAAAATACCAAGAGTGAATGTTGGGTTGCATAACAAGAGTACATCCAGTTCTTTGAGAAACCAACCTCCTGTCGTCTGAAGTGGCTCTGTGATTTTGCACTCCAACCAGCAGGGAGAGTTCCTGTTGCTCCACACCCCAGCCAGCATTTGTTGCTGTCAGATGTAACCCTGCAGTAGGATCTCAGTGCTGCTTTAATCTGCGTATTTGGATGACACACGAAGGGGGACATCTTTTCACAGGCTTCTCTGCCCTCTGTGCAACGTCTCTAATGAGGTTTCTGCTAATGTCTTTGGACCTTTTTTTTTAATTGTGCTGCTTCTGTACTGTTGAGTTTTCAGGGATTTTTTTTGTGTGTGTGTGCATTTTGGTTAACAGTCCTGCGTCTTCTGCAAACATTTTGTCCCCTTCTGAGGCTTGTCATTTGACTCCCTTCCATTGATGAAGCAGAGATCTTCAGTTTTCAGGAAGCTCAGCTTATCAGAACCCTCTTTCATCAGCCACACCCCTGGTATCATATAAAGAAGTCACTGCCTCAACAGGCTCATTTAGATTTTCTCCTGTATCTAGGGGTTTTATCAACACTTTCATTTACATTAAATAGCAATATCCAAAACTCTTTAAAAATTACATATGACAGTGTGAATTTTGTGTAAATTGTGTTTTTATTAAAGCACAGTTAAAGAAACTATGGCATGACTGAGTAGTTTGTTTACCTAAAAGCCCTTATTTCTCTATAGACATTAAATAAAATCTAAAAAGATAATGAGAAAAAATATTTTTGCATCAGTTTTAAATGCCTTATAACATGACATAAGTATTTTAAATTAACATTAATATATATTCACATTAGAAAAACATATATTTATCAGCAGATTCATATGCTTGTACATATCTCCATAAAACAGAATTCTAAAACTTGATACTCTGAGTAAGATGGAATTAAGCAGTACATAGTAATTTAGTTTGATAAACTATAAGTTCTACAAATAATCTTATAAAAATTATTTTTTAAATAATCAAATATAAGAGTTCAATATTTAACTGTTACACAATCGTTTTGTGTTTACTATTGTTTATTCCCTAAATGCTTTTAATAACAATATGCAAAATGTTCACCTCATCACTGGGCAGTGTAGGTTTCCAATAAATGACAGCAGTAGTCCAAATAACAGATAACAATTATATCATTAATAAAATTTTACATATAATAAACACAAAGCTAATCATGAAATTCAATACAAATGAGATTTTAAACATATTAAAGTTATTCTTCAAAAGTGTTCATAGACTAAATATGCTACAAATATAAATCTGCAAATTAAAATCAACAAAACTCCTCATTTTGCTTGAATGCTCTCATATTATTATAAAACCACCATCGATTTCTGGAAACTACGAAGTAATATGGTAAGAGCATTGTTTCTTTCCACAATATCTCACTGAACTAACTAAGATGCTATCTCTGCCGCCTACCACTGCCCAGGCAACCTGGGATTAATGGCTTCCATGCCTGACCCTGGACACAGAACCTGGAACTGCGCATGGTAGATGGGCTGCTCCACTGCAGGCCTCACCCCAGCCCAAGTCAGCAGTGTTCAGGAATATTTCTAAGATTTAGTAAAAGAATCAAATAACTTCTTTCTCAGTTTATGAAACAAGTGAAGCAAGAGGTCACCATATAATATAGAGCCGCAGGATAACACCACCCTCAGTCAGGTCCCAATGTGGTAACAAGAAAGTCAACTACGTTAAATCAATTCTCAACACTAAGTGCCAGAACAGTTAAAGTGAATCCCACTACCAATCAGGAACCGTACTGGTGCTAGGAATACAAAAAGAACCAGTACAGAGGCACTTGCCTATAATCCCAGCTGCTCTGGAGGCCCAGACAGGAGGATTCTAAATTGGAAGCCAGCCAACTTTAGCCAGGCCCTGCTTCAAAATAAAATAAATGAGAGAGCTAAGGGCTCACTAACAAGGCCCCAAATCCAATCCTTAGTAACATACAAAACAGGAATGAAAACGTTATTCCTGTTCTGAACAAGCTTCCAGTCTAACGGCAACAATGAAAAAGATGTAATACAGTGTGAAGTACTCCATAATTTTAAAAAGGCCTAGTCTGAAGTGATACAAAAGTGGCTAATTTTTCATAGACAATTTACAAACTCACAGATTTTAAAATGTGAAACAAGCTGCTCTCAGATCAAGACACAAGGAAAAGCAAAATCAAGGCACAGACTTATGAAATGCTACAGTGCGCACAAGACTGCTGTCTTGGTTACTCCTCTCTCTTGGAGAAGATAAAATACCTCACACCCAAAATGAAGGAAGGAAAGGTTTGTTTAGCTTACTGCTTGTGGAGGTTTCAGGCCATAATCAGCTGGCTGCAAGGCAGGGTGGCATGGCAGTGGGGAAACACTTCAAGGTGGCAGCCAGTAAAGGCACCCACAACATTACATTATACACAGGCCACCACCACTCCACACCCCACCCCACTCCCACCAGGGCCAGGGTAGCACTCACAAAGTCTCCTTGCCCTCCCCTTTTTCAGGTTGGGGACTTTTACAAAGTAAGAACCCTGGCTCCCTGCTGAGTCTCTCAGTTAAACTTCTAATCTCAAGTTGACACAAAGCATCAAAGATAACAACTATAGGGCCTAGGGATTTAGCTCAGCAGCATAAGCACCCGCCTTGCAAGCAGGCGGTTTGTAAGTTTGATCCCTGGTACCTGATAAAAATGAAAAAGACAAAAAAATAAAAAATAAAAAAAATAACAACTATATATAGTTAATACAAAACTCAAGTGAAGAAACAGGCAGAAGCCAAAGCCATATCCAGTGATCTCAGGTTGACATTTTAACGTGAGTAACACGAAAACTGTACAACATGGAAATGTGCAAACTAAGTTTTTGCTTTTTGTTTTTTTTTTTTTTTTTTAAATTCACCTCTACATCCCACTCCCAGAGCCAAGTGTTAAACATTTACTAGCACTGGAAATTTCACACTCTGGAAGGCATGTTAATACAAAGGCCATTTAATGTGCTATATGATGTTTTAAGACAGAAACATCCTTCAAAGATAGAAGGTAACCTAAAATAAATTTTGCCTCAAAGAAACCTCTATCCTAAGAAATAAGACAACAATACTGCATCCTGATAAAGACCATCACATCTGAAATCATAAAAGCTCTTTCTAAGGAAATTTATCTGCATGCCATGCTGCTACTCTTGCCCCTTGTAAGAGTTCCTAACTCTTTGAAAAATTGGTGTCAAGAAAAATAGACTCCTCCTTGGTTATCAGTCTTGAACATTAAAGGGAGAAAACATAGCTATAGCATTTTCATTTTGATATTTACTCTAAATTACACATTACAGGTTTTTAGGTAAATTATTGTTATTGACACTAAGAGATTTCCATTCTACAGAGCATGGTGCAGCTTTTAATGAAGAAAATCATTCAGCACGGTACAATTCAGTGGTAGAACACCCACCTGATGAGCATGAGGTCCTAGCTTCAATCCCAGCACCACAAAAAATAAAAACTAACAAAATTGTTACCCAGAATGTAACATGAAAACTAATCATGTAGAAAATGATAGTTGCTTCTGTTGTTCGCAGGGGAGTAGAAGAAGGTATATTTTCCATATAATTCAAATCAGTAAATATTTGTAAATATATCTATAAGGTTAATTTAGTGTCAGTACCCAGTCATAAATCAGCTGTGATTTTCAAGAAATTCCAAAAAGCAGCAGTTACTTTAAATCACTATTAAACATTGAAGAAAAAAATAACAATAAAATACTCTAAACTTCACTTAAAGCTCTATCAAGAGCAAAGCTCTCTTATGATCAGAAGTTTTATCTGTAAACTCACCACTGTAGGTGATGAGGAAAACTGTAATTAAGTGGGTGACTGATACAGTGAATGTATGACTCATAGTTTGCAAAGGGAAATGATTTTGGGAAAAAGGCTCAGGAAGAAGAGAAGCAAATAATGGATTCAGGGTGGAAAAAAAGACCTTTCCTGTCCAAAGACTATTACCAGTTCTTTATTACTTGAAGATTAAAGAAACAGTGAATAAAGCTGTCTGCCAGACAGCCAAAGGGGGAGAATAACATCATCTGTAAGCATACCTCATATCAAAGTTTTCAGGAATAACATTCGTAAAATTAAACTTTCTGTAAAAGGTTACTGGAAAACCCAACTAGATCAGACCAATGGAAATGTCAAAATAAACCAACATTACTGTGTCAGAAATTTGGATGGAATGAAATGCCAGGCAAGTAGGTCAAAATGTAGAATCATCTAACTGTTTTTACATTTGATTTTAGAAAAAAAGACAGATATGCTACAAATTTAGTAGGAAAATTAGTGGGGTTTCTGTTTGTTTTTATACTCCATAGATTAGGACAAAATAAATATTTGGTTTTTCTACTACAGTTCTGTAAATTGATACTGATTCTTCGGTTTTTGAAGTTTGAGAAGTCAAATTCAAGCCACTGATATCACCTGCCCCAGCAGGCTATATATGCGTATGTATCTACACAAACTACATCATATAGATTTAAATATACCTTTAAAAATCCACTTATGTATAGGCGTTCATTGCTATCTTTGCATCATGAATCTTTAAAGAAAATGAAGAAATTTCCTTTAAATAAGCTGTATTCAACAGAAAGTCTTACCCCATTTCATTACTTAAGTTTACATTTGATGTATATTTATTTTAGAGTCCCTAGTCTGTGACAACACTGAGCTATAGGCTTTAAACACATAAACCAACTTGAGAATGTTGGAATTATTTCGTTACATAAACACTGTCTACAGAGACGTAAATAATTTTAGGAAGAAAACCTACCCTACATCATTGATGGCTTTTCTATGAATAACAGCAAGGTCATTTAGTGTCTCTTCTCTTATTCATATAGTTTAGAATTTAGTTCATGAAAATTGCCTGATTCAACTTGAAGCCTCGGGAAAAATAAATTTTTAAGGAGTGTCGGTGTGTGTGTGTGTGTGTGTGTGTGTGTGTGTGTGTGTGCATCTGTGTATATGCGTGGGCTCATATCCTAGACAGACTTGGACTGAAACAGTCCAGTTCCACAATCTTTGCTCATAAACCTTTGCTACTCATCTGTATATACTCCTACATGCTGAAAACAATGCAGCAAGACATGATTTAAAATAAAAATACATGACTAAGATAAAAGCAAGAGCTTTTACAATAAGGAATTTTACATCTAAAGTCAATACACTAAGAATATCCAGTATTAAGTGAAAAGCAGACATTTGAAAAAATTTATTTTAAATGTTTTTCATATATGAATATACTTATCAAAAATTTCCAGCCTTTTAGATATTACATCATCTAACATTTTTGTGACCTCCTAATTGATTTTAAATCATTTCATGAAAAAGACCTTATCTAATCCTGCCAGCAACACTAAAAGTGAGATAGGTATGATAGCCAATTTCACGGATCAGCTTGGTTAGGTCACAGTGCCCAAATAACTGGTCAAATACTATTTCAGATGTTTCTGTGAAGGTTATTTTGGAGCGAGAGCAACATTTACACTGGTAGGCGCTGCCGGGCGCAGAGTACCTTCTACAGCACGGGAGCTTCCTCCAATCTGTTAAAAGCCTTAATGTAACAGACACGATGCCCACTGGAACAGGAGTAGACCGCCTGCTCTGCTCAGGGCTCAGCTGCAGCTCTCTGTCCTTCCCTAGGCCTCCAAGCTGCATGCCTACCCCGAAGGTGAAGGGTTCCACATTTCATGAGCCTATTGTCTCTCCCCATATACACATGTACACACAGATGTGACACACGACTTAGCCTTCCTCTGTCAGCACTTTCACTTCCCATGATTTCAATCACCTTTGGCTTACTTCGGAAATAAACTATTCAAAAGTTTTTGAAAAAAAGTAAGATCTGGATGATGTGATGAAAACACACTGTCACTGTCCCTGAGTCGCCGTTTTGTCCAGAGTATTCACACTGTATGAGCCACACACGTGTTAGAGACTCAGGGGTTGCTTTTGTTCAGATAACACAGCCAGCCTTCGTCGTGGCCCCAAAGCACATGAGGCAACCGTCAGGCATTACCCATCAAAGAATGAATGCATACACAAAAGCTCATGTATAAATGCTCACAGTGGCCACACTGATGATAGCTACAAAGTGGGAACAACATGAATGCTCACCAACCAGGAAACAGATAAACTGTAGCATGCCCATATGACAGAATGACTCGGCCATAAAAAAGGAGACAGGCTAGGGCTGTGGCTTATTGGGTTTGAGCGCCAGCCCGTTAAAGTGAAAAGGACTAGTAATATATCCTCTACCTAAAAGAAAAAAATATATATACGTATGTATATCCTATACCATGGGCAAACTTTGAAAATATGCTAAATAACAGAAGCAAACATAAAATGCCATGGTATTATATGAATCTATATAAAATGGCCACACTAGGCAAATCCATAAAGACAGGAAGTAGCTTAGTGGTTGTCAGCAGTGAGGAAATCAACTCAATGTGGACTAAATGCAAACGGGTATAAGGTTTCCTAGCAGGGAGAGGAAAATGTTCCTGAATTAGATACAATACTTGTAACTGTAAAACCTCATGAATATACTACCAACTCTAGATTGTAGTCTTTAAAATGGTGACTATTACAATAAGCAAATTATATCACCTCAATTAAAACACATTAAAAAATAAAAATCAAATACACTCACCTGTCCTTTTTGTGGCGCCAAACAACGAATAACTTCATCCACCATTACTGGAATATGCAATTGAGCCACTGGGTCAGAATCTCTGTTTGGGGATGTGTGTAATTCCTGAGCTTCAGTTTGAACTGCTTGCTCTTGGGTTTTATATTCGTTACATCTTCCTGCTGTGGTATGTACTTTTTTTTGCCAGTCATCTAAATTAAGTATGCCAGATTCCAACCAGTGTGAAAAACATTTTTTATATGGTCTACAAGAATACAGGCATCGAAGCATTCTGTAGGTCAACAAATCTAGAAAAGAAATTGATAATGTTGCATGATAATTGTTGGATTTTTTAAAAACAGTGTTAAGACTACTTTGGAGAAAACAAATTAATATGAAATAACATATAAAAAAGTATGACTCAGGATCTAAGCAAGTGAAGGTGACTAATCTTATAAAGCACCTGACTTAATGCAGAAACATAACTTAAATATAATTTTTAATGTGGTCTACAATATAATTTCTATAATTTCTAATGTGGTCTAAAACCATTAATGTTTTAACCAACAGGGATAAAAAAAAAACTGGTTATTCAGGCCTTTTTTTCTGAAATACAGATTTTCAAATTTAATTCAAAAGAATGGATTCAATGAGTTCAAATTATTTATCTAAAAAAATCTGTATGACTAAAGGGATGACGAATATCCTAGATTACAATCAAGTGGCCTTTTATTTCCAGCTTTTCTGCTTGTTTTCCTCATACTGCAAAATTCTTGTATCTGTACAAAAAGATCGTTCCTGGGAAAACAAGTAAATTTAAAAGGAAAGGAAGATGGTCAAAGTATAAAAACCTCATGTGCTTATCACAGTCTCTGAGGAAACATTTTCAGAGCCTACATCGGTTGTAACTTTATATACTCACTGGAGCACACCTCGCCCATTCCATGCCTGCTTTTTCTGTTTGTTTGTTCAGATGGTGTGGGGCTGATAGGAACCAAAGCTAGAGCCTGCTGGTCCTTACCACATACTCTACCTCTGAATTACACCTCAACCCCCTCACCTCTGTTCCCTGTACCCAAAAATCAAGGAAACAGTTGATACACTGCTTGAACGTCTCATACTGGCTCCCTTTTCTTCTGCAAGTTGTAATTCTTTTAAGCACAGAGGTGAGAAGTTATTTATCAAATATTAACAAAAGATATTTTGAAAACATGGTGCATTTTATCCACCTGCTTCGAAGCAGTGTTACTAATGTGACTGAAATATCCAGTTAACACTACTCTTCTTTCTTCATGGATTATGAATTAAGATCCACACCTTTGTTATCTACAAATCAGACATACACTAGGTACTCACTAAGGTTTTTCTGGGGGGAGGGATGTGTGGATAAATTCAACTGTCCACAGTGTACATCCTGTTTTTAATCTTCACTTTAGGAAATTTCACCTAACTGTTCCTACCAAAAGCCATGGTCTCTCCCAGTTCTTCAAGAAATACATTTCAGTTAAATACCTTCCTTCACTTTTCAACAGAAAATAAAAAGCAAAGCACACATACTAAAACAATAGAAGATGAATATATATTATGTAAATATAACAAATAACATATTACTGAGGATAATATGCAAACTTTACTAAAGATATACTGAATTGTTGTGGCATCATGACAAATAAAATTGGCAAAAAAAAGTAGATCAGAAATGAGCTTTTAAGTACATTTCTGGATATTAAGTGATGACAAATTGTTAATTATGCTTTGGGCTCTCTGGAAAGCTTACTACCCTACAACAGAAACAGTTTTCAAAACTGCCTAATATTTATTTAGCACTTAGTATTTACTACTCTTAGCACACAACTTGTTCTAACTCATTCAAACCTTACATCTTTTGTAAGTAGGTATCATTCCACTTTACAAAAGAAGAAAATGGAGATATTAAATAATTTGCCACAGTCGCACAAAGAGTCCTAGAGCAGTCTCTTCCCGGAATCTGTAATCTCCTCCATGCTATAAACATAACCCCTAGCACTATTTCACGAATAGATGTAATTTAATGACTTTATGTTGACTATGTACGTGTATCATCTCATGATTTGAGTCAACTTTTTAAAAAGGAAACAGCAGCCTATGGCTCGGCCTTGCTCCACTCGTAAATGATAATACGCTATGGTGTGAGCAAAAGAAGGCATTCTGCAGTCCTATGTTATAGAATCTGGACTACTGAGCCAATCTACACACTGGCTCTAGATTTGGGTAATTTTGAAAAGGTGTCCATTCCAATACTTGAATGAGACTACAAAAGGAAAACCAAGGAGTACTGCAGGAACCCCAAAAATGCTATTATGAGTCTTTCATTGTTTTCTACGGTTTCAATCTCTATGCATTCATTCAGTTAAGGGACTAGCCATCAAGTTGAGTCAACAAGAAGGGCCACCAATGCCGGGTCTTCCAGGTCGGCGGTTTCTCTGGACGCCGCACAGGCGAGTGGGCGGAGGCGGCAGGGCCAGCCTCCTCCCCAGTCCTGCTCAGGCTCCTCGGAGCCGCCCGCCAAGTCGGGGTTGTCTGTGTTTGCTCCGGGACAGGATGGAGGGTTCGGGCAGCAGGCCTCCGCGGCAGATTGGCTGGGACCTGGAAGTCCCCCAACTTTCTCCACCGGCCGCTGCTCGCCGCTTTGGGGCCCCAAAGGCGGAGCGCGCTGCCCGCGAAGCCTGGGTCTTTGAGGACGCTGACGGCGGTGGGCAGCGCTTTCCCGCAAGGCAACCCTGCTTGCAAAAGTCCCGCCAGCACTTGGGGGCCAGCCCCGACGGCAGAAAGGGCAAGGGCGGACTCCGCCCGTCGGTGGCTCCACATGCCCGCGGAGCGAACTTCAGAGCACCGAGCGGCGAGCACCGCGGAAGGAGGGCCGTTTCTCCGCTGGGCGGACCCGCGGCCTCTGCGGCCTTTTCCTCACCTGCAGAGTCCGCGGCCTTGGACTGGGGCCGGAGACGGCCACGGTGATGCCGGCGAGCCTGAACTTTTTGTCTTCTTAGACTTGGGGGAACCAGACACGGACGGACAGACCGGGCCCACGTCCGCCTGCAACTGAGGCCAGCGCGCCTTTGGTTCCCAGGCTGCAAAAGGGCCCTGCGATAAACACACGGAGATTTGCAGAGAACTCGGTGAGGAGCAGCGGGGAGTCTCGACATTCTCATGGTTACCATCGCTTTTTTGTCTTATTTTTATTTTTATATATACCTGGGACAGTTTTAAATGAACTTTTTATTTTCTGTACCTCCTTAAGGTCTTGCCAAACAAGAGAAGTCAGCTGGCACTTAATGACTTTGATTATAGTGTCAAAATCTTTTTGCTTTAATAAAATGCACAATTCCTAAAGAATACAGACTTATAAGCAAGACACTGCTTTACAAAAGTAACTCTAAATTGAAATTTTGGGTACAGTCAGTACTTGGGCGGTGTGGAAATACATGTAGGACTATTTCAGATTACATTAAGGTATCATTTCACTGTCACGTACAATGTATTTCTGAGACAGCTCAATTAATTCTAATGGGCTTGTTTGTATAGTTCAAGACAACTACTTTCCTTCTGGGATTTTCTGAAACACCAGTTTTTATCACCAAAAGTAAGTAACAATATACACATTTCATGAAGTTTTGAGAATCAAGATATTAAAGTAAAATAGTAATTATTAACTATTACTTTATTAACAATAAAGTAAAATAATAAAAGCCTGTGAGTGTAAAGTATTTAGTGGAACATGTATAATAAAATTAAAAAAAGGCTTCTCAACTTTAGTAACAATTCCACCACATCACTTATTCGGTTGTCAAAGATACATACAATACAGCCAGAAATAAGTGACTTTATTGGCATCTATCCAGTGTATGTGCATGTGTGTGTGAGAGAGAGAGGCATATGCTATATAATACGCAATGCTCCTGATTTTCAATAAATGCAAAATCTGTGGGTTTTCCATGAGCTTTTCAGTCATAATTCTCTGTACTCCTGTATTTTATACAGTGATACTGAATTACTAAACTCTTAAGATCCAAGAGTAGAGGGATTTTTAACTTTACTGCTTATTATGGTCTACCTATAACTTACAACCAGTATTTCTTGCATAAATATGTACAGTAATACAAAGAACCCAATTCAAATATTTAAAATATCCTGAGACACAGGAGATGTAGCTCAGAGCAGGTTTGCCTAGCACACACCAGCCTTTGTCTCTCCTCACAGCAAAAAGAAAAAAAAATACAGTAAAATAAAAAAATAAAATACGCTTACAAACGAAAATGAGTTTTCCTAACAAAGACATTTCCCTTTCTTCTCCAAGCATTCATCTTCTCTTGTCAAAATGCACATTCTGAAACAGTCTCTACAATCTGTGACTTAAAAATTACTTCATCCAGTAACAAAGGCGGCCAGTCTGCCTCTTTGAGTGAATGCGTTTCCTAGAGTGCCGTCGCTGGACACTGTAACAGAAACACAGGCACATGGAACAGTTCCACACTCAGCCCGAGTGGGAGTGGACACGGAAGCCCAGGGACCTGGAACCAAAGATCAGGTCCTGCAAGTAAGGCAGAGGCCCTGCCGCTCCCATAGCAGGGGCTAGACCAGGGAATGCTCCCCAGTCGGAGGGTGAACCCCAGAGTGCACTACCGCGCCCCACCGGCTCGCCTCTCCAGCGAGCAGAGGCGCTCCGTCTAGCTAGCCTACTCTGGCGGCCACTGCCTTGCAGGTGGCCGCTTCCCGCTGGCACCTGCGGCTAGCCACGCCCATCGCGGGCCCCGCCTCCGGAAACAGCCCTCGCGTTGTCACGGCGACGGGCCACCAAGCGGCTTCTACCCTCAGCCCCGCGGAGCCCGCAGGCGCCTATCGGACGCACGCGAAGGGGGCAACGTCCGACGTGGTGACGTCACGGGGCGACAGCCAATGAGGCGCGGCGGCGAGCAAGCTGGTTTAGGTTTGAATGTGAGGTGGTGTGTGGCGCGCGTCGGGAGCCGGACGTAGGAGAAAGGTGGTCGCGGAAGCGGTCTTGTCGGCCCCGGGTGAGTTAGAGACTCTGCAGAAGGGAAGTTTGAGGGCAGGACGCTTCCTTTGGCCAACAGCTTTGCTGGGAGCGCAGATCTGGCTCCTCTGGTCTGCAGGAGCGTTGGGGCCGTGCTGGGGGTGGGGCCAGGCTGGGGGTCGCTGAAGAGGAGGTGCGGACCGGGGACACGGATCGCGGCCTTGTGCTGCCCGCCCCGGCGCCGGCGAGCCCGTCCTTCAGCGCCCAGTAGAAGGCGGAAGTTTAAAGGGCATCTTGGCCCCGGGCCGGACCTTAGCTGTGTCCATCATGTTGCCGCGGGAGGTCCGTGCCCGACTGCGGGGCGTGGCTCCCTCCTTGGCCCGGCGCAGGTTGCAGGCCCCGGGCTCCGCCGCGCTGCTGTCCGGCGGGGCTCTGCTGGTGGTGAGCGCACGCTGCAGTTGTCGCGCACGTCGGGACGTCCGGGCTGCAGGCCTGCCCTGTGTGCCTCTAGGACCCTGCGGGGCGGAGCCTTGCACTTGACAGTGCCTGCGGGGTCGAGCATCAGACCGCCCCCGTTTGCTCTCAGCTCTGCCAAACTTCCCTGTAGGCGCGCTTTGTCCGGCTAAGAAGAAGCCAGAGGTGACCACTGTGCTTCGCCAAAGGAGGAGCACTCACTTAATCAGGATGCACTAGTTCTGTTGTGTGAGATGTAACTTAGATTCCAAGCTGTGGTTGTGGCTCAGTTGGGTAGAAAGGGTTCCTGCAACCCTCGGGTTTTACAGTGGGAGTGCGTGCCCCACCGACAGCCCCGCTAGGGTTTTGGCAAGTGATTATCGTAACTGGTGCTGGAGATGGCAAACTCTGAAGACTGGACTTGTTAATAAGTTTATATTCTCTGTAAGGCCTGTTTCAGGAAACAACAATGTCTGCTTTTAACAGTTATTAACCTCTTCTTATGTTCTCGGACAGCTATTCACACCTTGCCCCACTCACAGATACCTTGAGTCATTGAAGGTGTTCAGCAACGGGGCTTACAGGGGCCAGAAATGAGGAGGGCTCGCAGGCCACTAAAGTGTGTATTACACTGGAATCTAACTCAAATTGGAGTATGGATTTAAGATGTTTCATAGTTGTATCCTCCAGTGTCTGTACCATTGTTTGGAAGTATTCTATTCTAACTAGTAGAGTACAGTTGGGAAGAGCATGGACTCTGACATCCACTGTGTCATTTGGAAAACTTATCCTCATGTTAAGCCCATGTGTTTCTCAAACAAAGACAATGTAGAACCTACCATATATGACACTTGTAAGAATTAAATGAGATGATGAATGGCAAATGTATACCATAATGCCCAACATAGAATATGCTCAAATGATGTGTTTTGCTCACTACCAGTAATTATCACCATTTTGACCTAAATGTGGTGTTCTTAATAACATGTTTTCCAAGAATGGGTACTACATGATAGGTGACAAGTATATTTCAAAGTTGACTGCTGCTAAATTATAGAGGAAATGTGGGAATATTAGTTCAGATTGCAGAGTTTAACTTAAAAAATAAACAAGTCCATAGAGTTTTATTAATTTAATTGTGATAACCACTATACAATGTATACATACATCAATCATCATACTACCCCTTGAATATATGCAATTGTCATTGTCAAATATTTTGTTTTTTTTTTTTTAATAAGCAAAAAAAAAAATTTCTCTGAGCAATTTTCCAAATGCCTGTACTCTAAAATGCATAAGATGCTGTGTGGATTTGTCTTACCATTCTCTTTTCCTCGTTTTTGAGACAGAGTCCTACTGTATAGTTTAGGCTGGCATTGAATTCTTTGTGTAACTCAGGCTGGCCTCCATCTCTCAGCAATCCTCCTGCCTCAGCTTCTCAAATGTTGAGATTACAGACATGTGCCACCATACCCAGGCTTTGTACCATTTTTCTAATCATACACAAAGGTGATGGAATTTTGGAACTAAAAAATTTGTAAATCACAGTGTTTTATGGACAACAGTATTAGTCTTCTCTTTTGCTACTTTATGTGCTTTTGCTGCTTTCTTGATCATGAGCAAGACATTTGTTCTCTGGCACTTGATTCAGAATCACCTGTGCAGTATGTCCATGTCTTTTAGTGAGCTATGTTACAAAAGAATGAAGGCATTATGTTATAATATGGCAACAATCTCACTGATCTCTAAAGATGTCAGTATATTTAAACGAAGTTTTACTTTTCATTATGGTTTGTGTCTGGGTGTCCCCCTAAAGCCTCATGGGTTCACAGGAGTAGACTTTTTAGAAGTAGCTGAATCTAGAGTGTATACTATTTTTGCTTTTTGTTGTTGTTGTTTCACTATGCAGTTTAGGCTGGCCTTGAATTCACTTTGTAGTCCATCCAGGCTGTCCTTGAACTCAAAACAGTTCTCCTGCCTCAGCCTCCCAAGTGCTGGAATTATAGATGTATAGCACCAGACTGATTCATACTGCAGTGATTGCTGGATCAGTCCACTGATTGGATTGGTACTGCCCTAATCCCAGCAATCTGGATAAGTCAGGCAGAAAGAGACTTGTTTCTCTCCTCCCTCTTATTTACTAATGTCATCCATTGCCATGGATGATTATTGCTCTGCCAAGTGCCACCCTGCCTTGGAGCCAGCCAATTATGGACTGAAACCTCTACAAACTGTGAGCTAAATAAACCTTTACCCCTTTAACCCTTTTACCCCTGGGGTCAGTTAATTTGTCTCAGCATCAAGAGAAAAATAACTTACGCACTTTCAAAAGTTATTTTATTTTGAGATGATGTTTAGCTGTGATGTCCAGTCTGGTCTACAACTTCTGGGCTAAAGTGATCCTCCTGCCTCAGTCTCCTAAAGTAGTTGGAATTACAGGCATATCATGTGTCCTGTCTTAATTTTTAATTGTTATGATTCTGTTGACTGTAGGCATTTTTATTAAGAAAATTGGGGGTAGGAATGTCACTCAGTGGTAGAATACTTGATTATCAGTACATGCAAAGTCCAGGACTCAGTCCCTAACTTAATGAAAGAGAGAGAGAGAGAAATTTTTTTCCCTCATTTGTTCTTAAAAAGTAGGGGATGTGAAACTATAAAAATCAAGACTTCTAACAAGTTGTGAAACAAAGTTACTTTAGACATACATAGGTCCTTTAGGTCACTGTAAAAGTTTCTCCCTGAAATGCTACTTCACTAATACCCATTGACATCTAAAAGGCTTTTGCTGATTCCTAATTAACTTCAAATTCATGTCTAAATTCTTATAGTTTGGATTCAAGATCTTCAAAGCTCACCATGTCCAGTTTTACCTTTTTAATGTAGCCTTCTCCTTTCCTCTCCATTCTTTCCAGTTGCCGAAGAATAAACCAATTCCCTTGAGCCTTTCTTTAGTTATTGTAGATTAAACGACATCCATTCATATAAAATTGACCAGTTAAAAACTGAAGGATCGCATTAAACTTCCCGCTTAGCCAGGTAGCTTGTGTTCTTGTCATGGTTCTTGGCCTCACCTCCTGAAACGCTCATGACTCAAGCTCTGAGAAATCACTATCCCACCAGAGACACTTAGAAGAGTTTAGATCCATGTCCTGTCTACAGGAGGAGTCTGCACATACTCCTGACCCTTCGCATCTCAGGCCCATAAAGGTTGATGGCATTCAGTAAGTAGTTACTAAATACATGGCCAGTTTTTCTTCCTGAATTGCTTTACCTAATAATTTCATCCTTCAGCTCTCAGCTGATCACAGTTCCTCTGGGAAACTTGACTGTCCTATCCAGCATTGTACCCTGCATAGCATTGTCATCACTCCAGCTTTACAGATGAGAAAAACAAGCCACGAAGACGTTAAGTAACCTGCCACCACTGTCAGGTAGTCAGCAGTCGAGGCAGGGGTGAGATTGTTTGAGACAGGGTCTTGCTAGGTCTCTAAATTGTCCTTTCCCAGGCTTGGCTTGAGTTTGAGATTGTTTTGCCTAAACCTCCTGTAGTGCTGGGATTGCAGATGTGTGTTACCATGTCCGCCTGTGAGACCTAAGATGTGTATCTGGACAGCTGAGGCAGGGTCTTGCTATGTAGTTCAGGGTGGCCTTGAATTTACTATGTATCCAGGTGACGTGAAACTTGTAATGGTCCTCCTGCCTCAACTTCCCAAGTGCTGAGGTTACAGACAGGCATGTGCCTCCACCCTCTGCTCAGAGCTGGTATTTTAACCCAAGCCTCTGGCCCCAGTTAAATTATCTGTTAAAGTCAAAGCATTGTTGAATATTTCTGGGTTTTAGAAATACTTGACTCGATTTGGGTGTCACAAGGAAAGTGGGAGACCACTTGCCTATGATAGAAATGCCACACATCCTCTATACATGGGACTGTTTGAACCAAGGAAGTAGAGGTAGATAGAGAACAGATGTTTCTCCAGTGCTTGATGACTTCATGTTTGTTATCTATTTCATGCTTCATAATGATACTACGCCGTGTTCTCATTTTCTTTCCCTGTGTAGTCCTCTTGGCTTTGAACCGCCTATGTAGCCTGAGATGTTCTAAAATTCAAGATCCTCCTGCTTCAGCCTGAGTCTGGGCCCAAGGAGGTTAAATAACTCACGCAAGGTCCCAGAAGCAGGCGGAAATGGGAGTTGCCTAGACAAAAAGTTGGGGATGAGGCAGAACAAAGTAGCAATTTACCTGGGACCTGACCGAGAACCCAAATCATGGGCTCTCCTTCTTCAGCGTTCTAATTTTGCTTAAAGTTGGAGTCCTAAGAAGTCAGGACTGTGTTCTGCATCTGATGCTTTTAGATTACTTTGGGATTATTTAAAGTCCAAACAGATACGGTTTTGTGACATGGTTTAGCTTTAACGTTGGTGCTGTCCTCCCATTTAAACACAGCCAAAGTGAATCCCTGTTGGCCGCTCCTCCTCTGCCCGCTCCTCCAGACCCTGTCTCTGCTCCTTTTGAATCTGCACCATGTCTTCCCAGATTCCTGACTGTAGGCCTTTACACATTCAGTGTTGTCTGTGCCACTTCCCCAAGGTTTCCACCTTGGCCTCTGTTCCTAAGTCCTGTGGTTAATGCTCAGGAGCTACTTGATTTGATAGATGTATTTAACACAGTTAACCACTGTCTCCTTGATTTAATGATTCCCAAAATTCTTAAGGCAGTTATAAGCTTTTAAAAATTGAAAGACTCAAAAGTCCCTTCAGATCCTAAGGAGAGTCTTTATTGTTTTAATGTGGCTTCTTACTGCCTTAACCTTTCCACCTGAGTATTGCTGAACTCTCAGACCGCACTCCTGGTGTCCCCACCACACAGGACATGTACCCTGCTGTGCCCCCAGTTATGTTTATCTCACTGATGGCTACCCCTCTCTCCCAGTACGCAGGAAAACATTCTGGCAGTATTGAATCCTGTGTGTCTTTCCTAACCTGCATGTACCTATTAGAAAGGCGTGTTGGCTTCTCCTTCAGAAGAGGTCCAGCGTCAAACTTACCAGCCCTGCCAGCCCCCCACATCTGCCTCTGTACTACACAGTCCACTAAAAACTTATGCACATTTCAGGAAGAGAAAAACTTGTATGAGTATTTTATTAAATTAGTTGAGACATCATGAAAGGAACACAAGTTACCTCTGGCCTCTGCGGGGACAAGGGTGCTTGAAGTAGTGGCCTTCAGCTTCCAGCCATGTATTAATAAGGTGAACAGCTGCTCAGATGACTGGGTCACTGAGATTCCTGCAAGTGCATTTTCAGTTTCTTCTCCAACAGCTGGCAGTGCGGTGGGTTTTCTGCAATATACGACATCCCCTAGGATCCTCATATGAGGGTAATACTGTCTGTTGGCAAGACAGCATCTTATTTCTCTTTTCCTGAAGTGTAGTGTGCATATATATATATATATATATATATTTTTTTTTTTTTTTTTTTTTTTTTTTTTTTTGGCAGCCACTGTCTTTCAGAGCACTAGTCTTTTGTTTCCTCTACTATGCTATGTGGGCAGCAGTGAATGACCAGTGACAGTGTCACTCCTGTGCTGAGTCGCCTGCTGGTTCTTTGTCTTGTTCAGAATACAAGCTGAAGGTCCTCAGTGGCCTGTATTTTCATCTCATGTCTTGTTCCACTCTTCTTTGCTCACTCCTTCTTCCCATTGGCCCTCCTTTTGGTTAGAAAGTATAACTCGGTGTCTGCTCTACTGCTTCCCTGCACTACTTCAAGTTTACTCACATTGGATTGTTTTCTGGTATGGTTTGTTTTTTGGCTTTTGGTTTTTTTTTTTTTTGTCTTGTCTTTTTCCTTTTTATCGGTACCAGGGATCGAACTCATGACTGCCTGCTTGTGAGGCAGGCGTTTGTGCCACTGAGCAAAATCCCTAGCCCCCACTGGTATGGTTTTTAATTGATGAATAATAATGGGATTTATTTACAAGTACGATGTGGTGCTTCACTTGCATGTGTTGCTGAATGAGCAAATTGAGCTAATAAACATGCATCGCCTCATGGACATCTCTGTAAACATTTAGAATACGTTTCTTTAGCAGTTATGAAATACAAAATGCATGCTACACAGTAACTGGCAACCAGAATGGCTTTACCAGTGTCACAGAAATTTTGCATCGTTTGATCAGCAGTTTAAAAATCATACCTTCCCTGCCTATCCCAACCTCCTCACCTATGAGGGCTGTCTTCTACTCTGTTTTATTCATTCCAAATTCTATGCAAAAATGAGATCATGTGATATTTTCCTGTGCCTAGATTATTCGACTTAGTGTAGTGTCTCCTAGATTCATCCATATGATCAACAAGTGACTAGATTTCATTCTCTTTAAGACTAAATACTGCAGTTTCCCATGATTCATGTGTGCATTTTTTCATTTGTCCATTTGTGGTAAGTACTTGAGTTAGCTTCATGTCCTGCCTATTGTGATCATGCTGCAGTGGACAGGACAGTGCCTGCAGCATCCTGATTTCAGTTCCGTTGGCTGTAGGCTCAGAAGTGGGATTTCCGGATCATACTAACTCCCTTACCTCCTTCAAGTTCGTAGATTCTCGATTGTGTTCTGGATAGCTGCAATTCCTAAATCACTCACCGATCTTTGTAAATATACTTTTCTTCTTTTCATGTGAGGCAAGCATTTTAAAAATCATACTTTTTAAACCTGTCATCACTAATGTCCCTTAAAATGGCACATCATTAGGAAGTAGCCTCCGACCTCTATTCTGAGACTAGGATTTCTGGATACGCCAAGGGTTTCCTGCCGCTTCTGTCACCTCCAACCTGAGCTAGCTATTTGATGCATCCTTGGAACTATTTTTAACCCTGTGTGTCTCTGAGGCTCAGTCAGAGACCAACCTGGATGTTTCACTTTCCGCTGCCAAGAGGCTTTTACTAAAAATAGTTCCCAGGCTAAAGCTCTGCCACCCTTACCTGATAGGATTCAGAAAGCTCCTTTCCTGTCAGTTCCCACAACCCAGGTGAAGACAGTGTGGCAGCCATGGCAAACATCAAAGCTGACTTTTGCGGTAGCAAGGTTGTAATTCAGGTACAGTGTTTGAATTTAAGCTGGAACCCAGAGTCTGACTTACAAGTAAAACCATTGCCATCATGTGCGTGCATGTGTGCGTGTGTGTGTGTGTGTGTGTGTGTGTGTGTGTGTGTGCCATTTAATTTTCTCCCCTTAGGTTATTTAAGTAATTGCATATTTTCCCCTAATAATATTTCCGAAGTGAGTGGAGCAGAATTAGTACCCTTTTTTTTTAATGAATACTATATGCCAGTTAGAGATAAGACTAATATTAAAATAATTTTTTTTTATTTCAGAAAGAACAGACATTCTTATAAACAGGAATCAGGATAATCAATAATGTCTGTCCCTGAGGAAGATCTGTGTCGCCACATGAAAGTAGTTGTTCGTGTACGCCCTGAAAACACAAAGGAAAAAGCAGCAGGATTCCATAAAGTGGTTCAAGTGGTGGATAAACATATATTAGTTTTTGATCCCAAACAACAAGAAATCAGTTTTTTCCCTAAAAAGAAAACTGCAAATTTTGACATTTCAAAAAGACAAAATAAAGATCTTAAATTTGTATTCGATACTGTTTTTGATGAAACTTCAACTCAGTTGGAAGTTTTTAAACACACTACCAAGCCAATTCTTCGTAGTTTTTTGAATGGATATAATTGCACAGGTAATTTTTTCAGTTTATTTAATTTCTCTATTTGATTTCATTTTTACATGGGAGGGACATGTATTTGGTCCCTTTTTCTAAATGTAGTCAAATTTAAGGTACTTATATCCTGAAAGTCTTTAAGAAGTGGAAATAGACTACTTTTACAATAGACTGTTTCATTTATGGAACTTTTCTCTTCCCAGGGCCTTGCTGTGGCCTCTGAAGACAGTCCTGTCACCTTCCTATGTCCTTAAACCTCATGCTTTCTGCAATTGATGGTGTCAGATTTCTTACAACTACTATTCATAAATATTCTCATTGCACAACTATTTTAATCATCCATCCCTGGTGAACAGTCAGACATTTCTGAACACTTGGCAGGGTTTTGTTTGTTTTGTTTTTTTTGTTTTGGGGGGGTTTTTTTGGTTTGCTTTTATAGCACCATTTTTCTCTAAGATACTTGGATAAAATCTGTTAACACTCCATTGTAATTGAATATCTGGTATTATTTTAGCATATCTTCAACCCAAGAAACATCTCTAATGCTTTGGCGAGGCTATAATCTGCCTTCCAAAATGCCGTATTGATTTCTCAGAAAAAGATGCATGCCAAATAACCAGTTAATTCAATGATGACAATTCAGTGATTGAACCCCATCATTAGTATCTTTTGTAATTATTACTTTTTATGATGTTTTCCACAGGACATTCCACAACTATATCATATTCCATCTCTGACTTTTCATTTTATTTTTGTTGTTTGTTTGTCTGAGACAGGGTTTCTCTGTATAGTTTAGACTGACCTTGAACTCACAATGTAGCCTAAAGTGGCCTCAAGCTCATAGCAGTTCTCCTGCCTCTGTCTTCTGAGTGCTGGGATTACTGGTGTGCACTACCATGCCCAGCTGACATTTTATTTTTATCACAGACTTACTCTCTTGATTATTTACAAGTAGAATATGATTTATTGATTGGAACTGGTATGATTCTCATTTGAAGTGTATGTTCTTTTTCTTTCATAAAATTCCATATTGTCTTTAGAAATTTTTAAAATTTTTGGTTTTTTTTGGACTCCAAAATATCCACCTGTCAGTTTATGTAAAATTGAACAAAGTAAAACATAATAATAATGTATGAGAATTTAATGCCCTAACTGGTTATTGTACTGAGTGTTTGCTGCTTATAAATCAAAGACTGAATTATTTTATGCATTTGAAAAAGTACAGCTTTTATGTTGAATAGGAGAGAATATTGGAAACAAAATAATTTGTCTAAAACGAGAATTGGAAAAAATTTTATAAATGGCATCTATGTGGAATGCGTTGATTGAACGAACTTGTATACCAGGTTTGTGTCAGGTTACACAGGGCACGGAGGGCTTCTATCTTGGTGGAGCTCAGAATTGAAATGCTCTGTGATACAGGCAAGGAGAGATATGCCGACACTGTCCTACACTGTGGGTTAAATGAACTAGACCCAACCACTTGTGGTGATCAGGAAGGCTCAGAAAAGAACTTGGTACTGAGTGTGAATGGGTGGTGTGCTGATTGGGTTTACAGTTACATTCAGGAGACCCAGCTAGAAGTGTCCACTGACGGTGGATATGGTGAACTGATTCATCCTCGTAAAGAGCTCTGATGCCTTTTCATAAAAATTCAGTGCTTGCCTATGGCGCTACGGGAGCTGGGAAAACCCACACGATGCTGGGATCGGCGGGCGAGCCTGGAGTGATGTACCTAACAATGTTAGACCTCTACAAGTGCATAGATGAGATTAAAGAAGAGAAAATCTGTAGCATTGCAGTTTCTTACCTGGAGGTAAGTTGGCATTATCCTTTAGAATAATCTGTGTTTCTGAGAAATTTGCAAGTTCACAGGGCCTGTTCCCATGACAGTCAAACCTTGGATTGAGAGTAACTTGCTCCATGAGTGTTCTGAATGATGAATAAATGTTTCTGAGCAATTTTAATTGGATGATGAGTGATGTCTTGCAGTACAAGCATTACATCGTGCTGAGTGTGACACGATCACGAGTCCTTTCTGCTTCTCTCTCACTGCTTTTATATACAGGTGCTTCGGATTATGAATGGAACAAGTTACTCGTAAACCAAGGTTTTCATACATTTTATTATGTAAGAGCTTTCTCAGAAATATATACAATTCTTAACATTCTTCTTTGGAATATTTTTAAATACTCCAAAGAAATATTTAAAAGAGTAAGTAAATTCTTGCTCTTTTTTCTGGTGGGAGGGCATAATCTCAGACTTAAGGGAAGTTGCAAAATAGTATAAAGAACTTTCAGGTACCCTTGCCCAACATCTCCATATGGTGACCTTTCACTGCATTTGCTTTGTCTCTGTGTGCATGCATTTATTGTTTTAAAATTATCAGTTGTGAACTGATAAAAACCAGAAATACTCTTAAATAACCATTGAATAATTATCAAAACCAGAAAATTAATGATATTATCTAATCTGCTGACCTTAATGGGATTTGGATAACTATCATGTTAATGTTATGTATGATACAAAGCTATGATCAAAAATTGAATTCGCCTGTGGGATCTCTTTAGCCCCCCCTTTAATGTGCTCTGTTTTTTCTGTGTGACCCTTTGTATTTTATGACACTGCCATAGAAGCTTCAGTTTGGGTTTGTCACAGTTAGATTCAGATTTTGCAATGGCAGAAACATCACAGAAATGATAATAAACGTACTGCTTTATATCAAGACATTTACATTGTTGATTAGTCCCGTTACTGGCAATTTTACTTTATTAATTTTATTTTGGGGATATTTGTAAATTTTTTCAACTCAAGAATACTACTTTATCTACATTTATTACCATTAGCATCATCTAATTATTGATGCCTGTATCAATTATCTTTATGATGGTGATTTTTAAATTCTACCATCCTTTTTCTGTTTGTTCATTGACCTTTTACTATAAGGAAGAGGTTTCCTTTTGCTTTGTAACATCAGCATGGACTTGAGGGTTCTTATTTTTTTTCAGTAGATTCGAATCCTTGTCTGTGATCATTGTGTATGTATGTGCTCAAATTGTACAAGAGTTAGCTAATAGAGGCTCTTTCAGAGTGGCTGTTGTGCCTGTTTTATATACCCCACTATTTCTTCAGGCCTACCACCACTTATTAATAGTTAGAATTCTACCAGTGATACCTAAAAGCAGACATTCTAACTTTGTGTTCAGATAGCTTTTTAGAAACCTATGCGCATTCCTGGCCATGTTAATAGGTATTTCTGCTGTCAGAAAATGTCTTACAGCTTGATCCCTACTGAGGGAATTTTCTTCCAGTGCTTAATTAAATCATATATGTTGCTAAGTTTCCCTCTCAGTGTACAGAGCTTGGAAATAAGAATAAAACTCATTTTTTAACTATTAAAAAGAATTGTCCTGAACTAGGAAAAAAGGAAACATTGAGGGGGGCGTTTCTTAAAATTTTTCTTTTGAAAACTGGGAGAGTTTTTGAAATTTGGTTATTTTCATAAATTTTGAATGTATCTTTTTAATCTGCTATCAACTTATAATTGACAAGGCAGTGGCTAATAGGCTTCCCACACAGACAGTGTATCAGAACTACTGTGGAACACTTAGGAGTCCCTATTGGCTGTGTCTCACCTGATACAGGAATTTAGTAGCTCTAGGGTGTAGGCAGAGCATCTGTGTTCCTGAAAAGCTCCCAGGTAAGCCTGCTGCATAGGTCAGCTTGATGGTGATCTTTCTCCTTAGTGGGACTGAAGTAGAGGAGAAGCAGTAGCGAAGAGACTGCTGCTCATCTGCAAAGGCCCTCATCAGCCAGGCCCTCAGTGGATCATGTTACCATCTTTCCTCTGGAGCTTACCACGTTTTAGTAAATTTATCATTCATTATGAAGAATGATACAGAGAACGAACATACCAGCGGAGAATCACACTGGGAGCTTTGTATTAGAACACAGAAGAAAGTACTATAAAAAAATTCCTTTTGTAGGTTTTTTCTTAAATCAGTAGTAGTCATGGTCATTGGGCTGGTGAATATTAAACTGTATACCTTTAATTATGAAATCAAGTGGATAATGCCATTTTTTGTGGAAGTTACCTTTTAAATGTTGGTGAAGATAGGGAATGCGGAAGTATTTTCAGTGTCAGGCTGTAGAACTGGATTATCTGTTACTTTTCAGGCCAAGGGCAGATCACTTAGGCTAGGGACTTCATCACTCCCTGGGGAAACCAAACAACTTTGTATTGGTCTTGGTGCAGTTGAGGAGTAGTGAGGTAAACACTGTCTACCACTGTGAGGTTTCCATCAATACCTCTTCTCTAAAATTTATCTATTTCCAAGAAGTAAGGAAAAGCAGCTTAGCCATTTTACTCATCTTTGTGTTACTGTAGTTACTGTCAGAAATGATGGAGTGAGAGTATAATGACTCAAACTTTAAGGTTGTATTTTAAACCTAAGTGATCAAACATCTGTGGAGTGATAGAAATTTATAAGTAATATTATATCCAAAGGGTAAGAAGAATGAACGTGAGCACTGCTTACCCTTAAAGTAAAATTCCAGTAACCTTAAATCAGCAGCAGAAGTGTGTTCTCCTAGGCACTGTAATTTTGTACTTACTTGTTTTATTTACTTTTTTAAGGTATACAATGAACAGATTCGTGACCTCTTGGCAGACTCGGGGCCACTTGTGGTCCGTGAGGATGCCCAGAAGGGAGTGGTGGTTCAGGGTCTCTCTTTGCACCAGGTACGTTTATGAACATCTTTTTCTCCTGTCAGAAAAGCAAGTATGGCTGTCTAGCCATTATTTATTTTCTATCCTGATTGAGAGAAAAACCAATAATAAATTATAGACCTGAATGATTGAAGTATGTCATAAACTTGCTTTGTTGGCTTCTAATTAAGTGAACTTTTTCTTTGTGAAAATCTGCTTGAATATTTAACGTGTTAAAGGCATGTACATTTTTAGCTCAAGGGTGGGCACTTGCCTACCACATATGCAGCTTGGCTCTAATCTCCAATATAACAAAAAAAAAAAAAAAAATGGAGAGGAGAGGAAAGGGAGAGTTTATTCAATGATTTCTTTTCCTACCTAAATGTCTGTAGCCCAGATCCTCAGAAGAAATTTTGCAGTTACTGGATAACGGGAACAAAAACCGGACGCAGCACCCCACGGATGCCAACGCTGCCTCCTCTCGGTCTCACGCTGTTTTCCAGGTAACAACAGGCTGCAGGCCTGCACTCTGCAAATGGATTAAAGCCAGCAAAGCAAAGTGCAAGCATGGCAACTGTCACCCATGAGAAGGGAATGTTTTCACTTGTAGGCATCTCCACCTCTCAGGTTTTCTTCTCTTTTGAAGCATTTGAGAATATTTTATCATAAATTAGAATTAAGATGATATAAGTCAAAAATATGAAATTTCAGCTTTATGACATAAAGAATTTCAAAAAATATAGAATTTATGGGATAGTAGAATGCAGTGATGGAATTTATTCAAGCTGATGGAAGTAATTTTGCCAGTAGGTACTTTCATTCAGAGTAAGACTTCTTACTACAGATCTAGATTGATAGAACCAGTTAATTGGAAAGATACTAATTTTCTTTTTAGACAGTTTTGCCATGAAGACCATTAAGTGGCTGCATTCTTTAATAATTCAACTGACGTGTGTTTTAGGAATACAAGTCCTGAAAGCGCTAAAGCATTAGTTGGTGGCTCTTGTTTATGATTTCTTGTTTATGTCTTGCTTATATGCAAATGATTATTTGAATGTTTGTCCTGGGCTGTCTTGTATGGGATTGATCATAGAAGAAAGGAATGTTTCCCTTTGGAAAGATTCATTTCTAAGGCAGTTAAGCCATTCGATTGTACCCAGTCAGCAAGGTTTTCATTGTCCTCTCCCCCACTGACTTCTCACTCCGTGTTTTTAAGAGAAAACTGCTGTCTGTGACACTAAAATTTCCTTACAATGTTAGACCTAACTTAAGAAGAAAAGTTGACAAGAGAATTTTATAAAAGAATAGTAGTTTACCTTCATCTCTTACCACCTATTTTATTTAGATAAATTATTCCAAAACAATTTAAAATAGCTGAAAAAATTATCTTTTTCAAATGACACATATACTACTATTTTTTTTTAATGTATAACATTCTTCTAATTATGGAGCTATACAACAGTTTTGGAAGTTAGGATAAGTTTACTCTTTGGGTAGGATCAACATTCAAAGTCACCTTTCCTTTTGGGCAGTTCTAGAGCCATGCAAAGTGTTCTGACCACTCCCTTTGTTTCCTCTTAGGTAGTACCTGTTTTTTATTTTTTGTAGTACTTCATGGCCCTCGTCACCAATAGTGACGATTTCATGGTTTTTCTTTTAACTGTCAAGGGTTATTTTCCCTGTTGTGCTGTGTTAGCCTTTTGTTGCTATAACAAATGACTTGAGATGATTAATTCATAAAGAAAAGGTTGATTTTTGACTCGTGGATTTGGAGGTTTCGGTCCATAGCACCTTGATGTAGGTGCTTTTAGGCCTGTTGTAGTCAGGGGTTATGTGGAGAACAATTAGAATTAGGATATGGAGTTTATAATACTATTTTTATGATGGTCACCCAGATTAACACAGGAAAACTATCTATAACACTAAAGACATAGAATATTTAGCCAAGAACCTTAATCCCACAGCAATGTACTACATGAGTCCAGATGAAGAACCAGAACTCATGACAGTGCCTCCCATGAATCCAACTGGAGGTCCAGAGCCCACAAGAAGGACTCACACCAGTCTGTTTTACGGATCCAAGCTGGGAAGGCCCATAGGTCAGCAGTGGAAGCTAGAAAGTCTATGCCAGCAGGGTGAAGGAGCTGTACTGGTGGGATGAGGGTTCTATGCTGGAGCCGAGAAGTCCTCTCACAACAAAGATCAGGGCTGCCCTGAAAGCACCACAGCCATCCTCAGCGACACAGAGGCCCAGAGCTCCTCTGAATACAGCACAGTTGGGTACATTCCAGGAAGCCTGCGTAACGAGTTCATCCAGGAGACCAAGCGGCACACGTCTTCCCCTACGGAGCCAGGAAGGGATGCTCAATATAAGGAGCAGAGCTTCTCCAGGAGAACCAGCGGCTCAAATAGTAACACATAGGAGAACCCACAATGCTTCAGTGCCTCTCTTCTCCTTCTCCATGTCTCTATTTATGCTGGCAACTTTCCTCAGGTGGGACATCTATGCTCAGCACCATGGTGATTTAATTTTGCTGGTGTTAAGTTGACCACCAGTTTCTAATCCATAACACCTGTGATGAGGCAACACATCCTGGCCAGTAGCACCTGGAAGAACAAAACTGTTGACCTGTTGCCACAACAGAAAAATAAAAAGGAGAGGAGTGCTGCGACCTTACCATTCCCGTGACCTGAAGACCTCCCAGGCACCCTCTTTCTTTAGAGATGGGCTCTCTGCTCTGTTGCCCACGCTGATCTCAGACTTGCCAGGCTCAAACAGTCTTCCACCATCAGTGGCCTGAGTAGCCAGAACTGCAAGCCTGTGCCCCTTCTTGGTAGAACTGAACTGCGGAACAAGCCTTTAACACATGATTGCGAGTCAGAGGGAGAGCACTTGGTTCATTCAATCCTCGGTATCAACTTTAAAAATAAAGATAGTTCCAGACATTCTTAATGCCTTGCACATATGAAAAGTCTTTGCATGTTTGTATTTTTCTCAGTGTTAGTCATTATTTCCACCAGTTTTAAATTCAGTCAGATGTATCTTGTTCTGAGTATGTTTGGGAATGACAGAAATATTACTTGGTTTCATGGTGCTTTGAAAGGAAAACATGTTTCCCTTTTAATTTTGTTCCATTTTTTCTTTTCCTTGTTCTTCTAAAATACAAGATTTATTTGCGTCAGCAAGACAAAACAGCAAGCATCAACCAGAATGTCCATATTGCCAAGATGTCGCTTATCGATCTGGCAGGGTCCGAGCGGGCCAGCTCCACCAGTGCCATGGGGACCCGGTTTGTGGAGGGCACGAACATCAACAGGTCCCTTCTAGCACTCGGAAATGTCATCAATGCCTTGGCAGACAGAAAGGTACATGTTTTTTCATCATTTGCTAAAGATTTCGAAATATTAAAACATTTCAAGAAAGATATTTCATCTGATTTTGTTTGGAAGGCCTATTGCAAATTGTATTTTAAGAGTGTATGGATAGTTTTTATATACAGAGCACAATTCAGAGAATCTGAATTATCAGGAAGCTTTATGGGGTTATTTTTGTTTCTTTTTGCATTTGTATTAGCAAGATACTGTATTTTTTTATTTCCAGTTTCATACTTAAAATTAACTAAATGAACATTAATGATTATCAGATTTGTAATGTATATTATATGGTACCAAAAATATTGTATGCTACGTTCTTACCACTTATTTTGAACTTGTTTGATTTTTAAAGTGACAGTTTTAATAACTATTATACAGCAAGAATGCTAACTCTGTGGCCATGAAAAGAAAACATTTTAGCAAACAAAATCCTTTTCTAGATTATATTTTATGTGCTGTTAATTTTTCAGGCTGGTACAACAATATGGTACATTATTCACAGCTAGCAATGAGCCACTACTGATACATAGTTTTCTCAATGCTAAAGTTCATGCTTACAAGCTGACATCATCTGTTAGTGGGGTTTTCTTGTATTTACTGAGCAGTCCTGTAGCGTATATTACCATTTCAGTCACCAATTATATCATCAGTCTGGGCAAAGTTGGGCAGTACTTAAATTGTTACAGGGAAGTAGTAGCAGGTTTGCATTAAAATGTGGAAAATGGCATAAGAATTCTTTTTTTGTTCTTTCAGAAAAAGAATCAGCATGTTCCTTACAGGAATAGTAAGCTTACTCGCTTGTTAAAGGATTCTCTTGGAGGAAACTGTCAAACTATAATGATAGCTGCTGTTAGTCCTTCCTCTCTATTCTACGATGACACATACAACACTCTTAAGTACGCTAACCGTGCAAAGGACATTAAATCTTCTGTAAGTGTGTTTACGTTATCTTTGTTGCAAGAGTTCTGAGTGCATTTTACAGTATGTAATTCTAATAAAAATGTGAAATGGGTTTGTGTTTCTATTGAGGATTCAGGCAGCTGAGGGTTAGAAATGCCTACTTAGCAATTCACCATGCTAACTTAGTTATACCTTTAAGCCTCTTGTTTATGCAAATATTGGATAATAGTATTCCATCTTCAGGGTGCTAGGGTGTTTTAAGGTATTTCTCCCCAATCTTTTCACCTCACGGCACCTGGTTTTTGGGTCACATCCTGGAGTTTAGCACATTCCTTGTCACTAAGGATGATGCTGTGCGTGAGCTGAGCACCAGCATTTTCTACCTGATGTCCTTGAACATGTTAATCTCTCCAGGCCTCTGTCATTTCATGCGGAAAATAGCTGTCTGTGCCACCTGTTTTTAAAACAGATAGTCTTTCCTAAATAATTTGTCTCCACGAATTCGTGATACTGTTGTATCTATGTAGCTGATGAAATAAAATACCATGTTAGTATTTTTCCCAGAGTTTGGGATTGTTTTTTTAAAAATCTCAAAACATGATACGTCTTTAAAATGATAGCACTCAGGTTGGAAGAGTGCTGTGGTGACCTCTCCCACTCTCCTCCACTGCTTCCTTTAGTGTCTGCAGAGATGCAAACTGCCATCCTAAGAGAATGGTTCACGTGTTATCTATGTGAGGTCATACCCTATGAATGTGTACAGGTATTTCACACACTTGTGTGTTATTTGCTCTAACTCACTGTATCAGGGGTTGTACAGAGCTCAGAGTCTGAAGTATTGAATTCGTCTAAGTCAAGGTATGAGAGAGATCCTCGGGAGCTGGGCTTCAGTTTTGGCCTCAGGTGTTTAACATTCTCTCCACTATTCCATATATCCCAAGGGTCTGTACTTTTAAAAGGGTGAAATATTACATGAACTTAGTATAAATTAGTTGAGCTCATTAATGAATAGAATATGAAATTATCTTTTGAATTTCTGAAAGTCAAAAGAAAATAGACAATTCTTATTTTATGAATGAATGCTTAAAAGTATCTTTTTTCAGTAAAGTATCTATAACTTCATATTTGTTATTATTATGCTTGACATGTCCTCTCATCATAGGTTTTAATCATGAGCATAATCAATCATGATTATCACATGATCAAAACTAACAAAATCAGAATTAATGGAAATCAGTTAATGAGATATAATGCCAGTTGGTACATGTGTATAGCTATGCAATTATTATCTCTTTATACACAGTCATACTTTCTATCTTTTGGCAGCTGAAGAGCAATGTTCTTAATCTCAACAACCACATATCTCAGTATGTAAAGATCTGTAATGAGCAGAAGGCAGAGGTACGTCTATCTTTTACATTGTTACTCTGATCACACCCAGTTCCTCCTTACAGGGTTCTTTACTTCTAATTGTCCAGCAAGTGACCGCTCTCCTTGTAATAGTGGCAGTCTGTCCTATTCGGTAACTTTGCATAGCTGAAAGTTTACCTTAGCTGTATAGAAGGGAGTAAGTTGTTTTGTGTTTTGACTGTTTTTTCTCTATCCTAGATTTTAATGTTAAAGGAAAAACTAAAAGCTTATGAAGAACAGAAAGCCTACACAGATAAAAATGGCGAAGCAAAGTTAATGATTTCAAGCTCTCAGGAAAAAGAAATAGGAAGGTAATTTATTGTTTTAAAATTTAGCAGGTATTCCATGTTAATCGTCATTATTTGTCACATGCTGTGTGTATTATAAGCAAATTCAGTTGAATTTAGGAAGTCACTGATTGTTCTCTGTTGCACATTTTGGAAACTAAATAATTTTTTATTGATTTTTACAGAGTGAGGAAAACCAGGGCTTAGGTATGAGACAGAGGCGCTTCCATCAGCTGTGAAGCTGGCTTATCTTTGGCTGTGCTCCTGTTTTTCTTCTCTAGCATGCTCATTTGCATAGTTGGACTACAGATCTGCTCACTTATGTTGATTCTATATAGCACTACTAATCCACTTACAAAATCTAAATGGTTAACTGTGAGAATGGAGATCTCTGATGGGCAGTTACTTTCCAGACTGACCTATTGTCTCCTTGGAACCACTGAACATTAAGATTTCTTGGCCCAGTGTCACTACAGTACCCAAAATCATCCAAATGGCTTGGAGGAAATATTCTTTTGATTATTATTAACTACTTTTTCTTCCTAAACTGCTGGGTTATTTCTATCACGGCAGTGTAGATGTTGATGACTTTTAGGCTGCTCACTATAGCACTTCTTACAAGTAGTACGAAGAGGGATTTGGGGTCCTCACTGCCAACAGAAGCAAGAAATACTGCACCTGTCATGTCTCCATCCTGTGTCCCCACCCTGCATTACTTTGCAAACATTGTGAGAAGGCCTTATGACAGTTGTGTGTATCAGCGACAACAGTTTTTCATATAGATTGATCTATACATTGTTAAAGTGAAGAGCTCTGTTTATCCTGCAGATTTTGTAGTGTGTTTAAATTATTTCTATTACTCCCTGGAGTAACTGAATTCAAGATAAATTGTCATATTTTATTAGTTTTAAGGTGATTTTATTTCCTCCCAGTTTTGATCTTTAAAATAACATAAATAATTTGATACTCATTTAGTCTCACTAATGAAAGTATTCAACTATGATACTGTTAAGTTACTGTTTCCTTGGTCAAAAATAGCTGTTGACATCAAACAGTATTTTTCTTTGTTAATGAAAGTTTTTTGAAAAAGGGATTACCAGTTTCTTACAATTGGAGTAATTGCTTCATAGAATTTCCCCATCCCTATACTACTTAATCAAGTCTGCTTTATTAGTTAAAATCTTACAAATCAGTAAATGTTTTTGGGTTCGACAGCTTTAAACACTTTCATGATGGGGCTATAATTTGTGTGCCTCAGTTCTGGACGGCCTTGGTTTAATCTTATTAATAAAAAGGAGTATTTAGATCTGTTTGTACTATCAGTGGGACAGTCAGCAAGAGCATGTGAAGCCACATTATTCAGTGGGAATATGTCCTGAACTATGAAGTAAGCATTTATTTGAACATTTTTCACATTTAAATACTTTTTAGTCAGTCCCTTATGGCATTTTGCGTTTTAATGATTTTTTTTTTTAAAGGAGCACTCTACAAACCTTCAACACTAAATCCTTTCCTCCCATCATAATTAGTAAACACCATCAAGCAAAATGTCTAGACCACAAAATTACAAAATTGACAAATACTTAACTTGGCCTGTGAGTAAAAAGTTATAGAAAAAACAGTTTATCGTTGGGTATAACCTAAAGGTAACGTATCAATTAATTTATTGGCATGAGCCTTGCTATAATACAATATGGTGCAATCACAGTGTCTGTACATATTTCCTATGAAATATTTATCAGTTTGACAAAACTGCAGTAAAGTCAATGTATTGTGGCTTATATTCATTTCCAGCAGTGTTTCATTAAGAACTACTGATGTAAATTGGCAGTATTTTTACCACAGGTCCTTACAAATATATCTAAAATTCTGGCCAGAGAACATTTATTTTTAAATGCACACACTTGATTTTATTTGAAAGGCTCCACAGTTGCTTCTTCTCTGAGACATGTGCCTGTATGTGCTGCTTACGCTATATCTGTGTCTCGGAGCTGATCCGTGACCTGACAGTACAGGTAGCTGTTTTATTCTGAAGTATCAACTGCAACCAACCTTCTGCTGACCCTGACAGGTGAAGGACCACGGGATGACTGGAGACTTTTCTAGGAGTCATTCAGCTGCACCCTGGCATTTGGGGATCTGGGTCAGACTCAACCCCTTGGGTCCTCTAGATGGCATTGCCCTTTGGAGGAAGTAGCTGTCCTCCATCACCACACTGAACGTGGAGGCTGTGGGTCCTGGCTCTGTCAGCTGGCTCTCCAGGCTCTAGGGCTTCTGCACCTTACCTTACGTCCCACTGTCTCCTGCTGTCTCCTTTGGAAGCTTCAGCCACAGCTAGGCTCTCTGGCTTTCTCCTGCAGCTGCTTTTTCACAGTAAACCAACACCAGGGCTGCTGCTCAGGGCCCTGGGAAGGGAAGGGCGCTCCTCTGGGATGTTGCCCTTTGCCTGTAGACAGGAAATGGCTTATTTTTCCAAATCAGTTGGATCACATGCAGTTAGACACCCAGACAAAGTACAATGTTAATTTCAGAAGACAAGAATATAGGACCTGTATTTCCTATAACACGATTTTCTTTGGGAGAAAGAAATGAAAACTTTATAGAGATACACCAAATGCTCCTAAGTACTTTTGTAGTAGGAAGGAGTTACTCTAGCTGCCTTGCTATTGATCACAGGTGCACTTCTGTAAGTGAGTGTATGTGATGGGTTTTTTCCTCTTTGTTTTTTTCTAATGGCATTGGCGATTGAAACCAGGGCATCATGTAAGCTGGGCCGTCGCTACCACTGAGAACCCTAACCATTTCTTTTTTGAGATCTTACTTAATTGCCTCACCTAGTGTTGAATTTGCAATTCTCTTGCCTCAGCCCCTCAATTACAGACATGTGTCACCATTCCCAACCTCATTCATTCATTTCTTAAAGTAAATTTTGTTTCGTTGACCATAAAATTGATGAGTTTCTGTAATGCATTTTGTTTTTGGTAGATTTCAAGAGATTCTTAACTGCTTGTTCCAGAATCGAGAAGAAATTAGGCAAGAATATCTCAAGCTGGAAATGTTACTTAAGGAAAATGAACTTAAGTCATTCTATCAACAGCAATGTCATAAGCAAATAGAAATGATGTGTTCTGAAGACAAAGTAGAAAAGGTATTTAACAAAATAACATATAAGCTTTAATTCTAAAAAATTTGATAGTCAAGGTTACTTCATTACTCATTCTCTACAAAACGGTGGAACAGCTGGAGGAAATATAGCAGATATGACTTTAAATACCTAAAGTAAACAAGAAAGAAATTTAAATTCCTGAGTTTCAGAAATAAGAACCAAAGAAGTATGGTCTTTGGTTGCAACCATTATTTTCCAGAGCATTTCTGGAAGTCCTCATAGGGAGTTCACATGGTAAAGGAGGCTTTCCTGCCCCGGGCGGGACAGTGGAGAGAGCATATTCACACAGGGGCAGCTGTCACAGCAGGAGGCTAGTTTTCAGGGCAGAAAATCTTAGGCCGACACTGTTAGACACCCCACCACATGCCCTGAAGTGCACCGTCTGGCTCAGACCTGAGAGAAGAGTGAGAAGTGAGTACCGCCACAAACAGCTTCGTACCCCAGAGATCTGTACCTTCTAAACAGTGGTACCAGCCAGCATGGCACAGCAGGGGTAAGCAGAAAGATCTCATCTGTAGACTGTCACTGCAGTGTGCTTTTCACAATAATTAAGGTTCCAGGTTTAGAGCCCACATGTTTTGTTTAGAAGACCCAGGAAGTTGAAAAATGAATATTCAATATAATACCAGCATAGTGATACCTCTGGGGAGCCTGCGTAGCAGGGATAACTCAGCCTAGGGAAGAAGCTCTCAACCCCAGCAGCTCCTGACCCCACGGTCCAAAGTCATAAAACCTGTGAAATGGTTTCCCACAGGGAGGAATCAGCAGGTTTGGGCACTTATAGCAGAATACATAAAACTTAGGTATTAGAGCTATCTGATGGACACTAAAAGTGAGTGACATTATAAAGGAAGAAATGGAAGATACAAGAATCAAAGAGTACCAAAAAGGTATCCAAATGAGAAAAAGGAATTTCAAGAAATGATTTTCACTAAACATTCACTTTATAAATACAGTATTAGCCAGTGTTTTAGCACTTTGTATACTTTAACTCATTAAGCTGTCAGAAAATTTTGTGGGATATTTAATAGCCCCATAATCAAGATGAGTAAATGAAGGCACAGATCAATCCGGTCGTCCAAGTCACACTCCTCCTCCTCGTGAGCTGCAAGTTGCACTCTGGTCAGCTGACTCTGGTGCCTGTGCTCTTACTATCTGTGCTGTTTTTCATGTTGGGTGTAGAAGACAGAATTAAGGAATGAGGACATAGCCAAGAAAGTCTCCCCAAGTGCAGTGTGCAGAGGTAGCCTCTACTCTGGGAAGAAGCAACTTTGTCTGATGAGAAAATCCTGGGTTCACATCAAAGGTATCACTCACGGAACCCATAACAAAGGACAGTGGGGGACTCAGTACTGAAAAGATACGAAGTCAAAAAGCATGAGTCCTAAGGATCAAGAAATACAGTTACAGCTAGACCAGTGAAACTAGATTACCAGATACCAGAAAAATAAACATTTGGAAAATACTGAAGAATTATTTCCACAGTTTTAGTTTTCATTGATTTAATTGCATTTTTTAAAAGTATGTATGTAATACATGGGATACTTTGTTATGTGACTTTTTTGTTGTGTGTGGAGATTAAACTCATCGTGCGTGTTAGGAAAGTCCTCTACCACTGAGATGCACCCTCTCACCCCCAAGTTTTATTTCTTTTAAAGCCTTGTGTGTCACTACTACCTGATACTCTTTGATTGCAACTCCAAATATTTTCTTCTTTTCCCCCCTCCACAGAAGTAATCATTATATATGTATGGACACAGAAACACTGTACAGATTTTAGTTTTTTTGGTGTCCAAAAGTCATCACATTGTGGGACGGCTCTACCTTTTCTTTCAGTAACTGTAGGACAGAACTCAAGGCAGTAGCCTCGTGTATTGGGCGAGTGCTACCCTGTGCTATATGCTCAGCCCATGACTGCTTCTGAAAACTGGGGTCTCACTTTTTCTTACCTTATAAAATGGGGAAGAAGTGACAGATTAAAAATCAATCACGAAACTTTCCTTAACCGATCATTGATAGCACTTGATCAGCAGCTCTTAAACCATTATCAAAGTAATTAATTTATTAAGTGCAATATACATGCTGGTCTTACTGAAAATTACTTTTTTAAGACAGAAGAGAAAGTAAATTTAATGTTTTGGAGTGTGCATGTGTCTAGGGCTTGAACCCTGGGCATCTCACAGACTAAGCAGGTATTTGGACCCTGAACTGCTCCACGGCTCCTGAATGGGTGTTCTCCAGACCTGCTACTACATGCGCATGCTGACCCTGTTTTAGTGCTTCCCAATATTTTTGACAAATACAGTGGCTTCCAAATAGGAGAGTGTATTATAGGACTAATGTGTCATTATTGTGAACCCTGTCATGTGCTTGCTAAGTGGAATTCTGAAATCTATGTTGAACATTTTAAGATTTATGTTATTTCAATTATTAGTACAGTAACTTTTATAAAAAATAATTTTTGTTGAATAATTCTTTTCAATTTTGTGTAGACATCCACTAAATACTTTTTAACAACAGCTCTTATTGAACATTTCACTATGACTCTGCCAGACATGCTTCAAAGTGCTTTGCATAGGTTAATTCATTTGGTATTCATAATAAATCCATGAGATAGATCCAAAATTATCACTGCATTGTGTTTCAGGCCACCTGCAAACGAGATCACAGACTTGCGATGCTGAAGACACGTCGCTGCTACCTGGAGAAAAAGAAAGAGGAGGAGTTGAAGCAATTTAATGAAAATACTAATTGGCTTCATCGTGTGGAAAGTGAGATGGGACTCTTGGGCCAAAATGGTAACATTCCTGAGGTATGGATGTATTTGTTTAGTTAGTTTAGAGAAGCTGAACTTTGTAAAATTCTTCTCTTTTGTAAGACACTTATTGCCCCGTTTTTCTGAGATTTAATTGACTTGACTTATTTTACTGTTTTTAACCAAACATCCCTTTTGTTTTACAATTTCCTACTTTGCCTCCCCTTTATTTTCGGAAGAGTAAAGTTATTTTTAAACATACTCGTAAGGGGTGCTTTTAAGAGGTGTAGCTCTTGAGGAGCTGAGCAGTCTGCTTCAAACTACATAAGGATTCATCATGTAGATAATTTGTGTTAATTTTGATATTTTTGTGCAAACATAGTTTTAAATGTGGGTAGCACTAACTTTATTATGGCTGAAGAAAGTGACTTAAAAGAGTATATGTGTATGTGTATGTGTGTGTGTGTGAGTGACTGAAGATGTTCCAGTTAGAATGTTCACTAGCATTGGGAGTGATGGCCCATGGCTTCCTCTTGTAACCACTTTGCTTGTCAGCACTGCGACTGACCCCAAGACCTTTGCACCAAGCTACATCTCCAGCCTCTTTTTCTGAAACACCTTCTGGTGGTATCGTAACATGCCAGCTTGCCCAGGCTTGGCTCAGACTTGTGATCCTCCTATCTCAGCCTCCCAGGGTACTTGGGTTATAAACATGGGCCACCACACCCAGCGTGGACTGGGGTTGGCTCACTTATCTAAAGATAAGTCTTGAAATACACAGTTCCAGTATGTTACCAGTGCCAGTATTACCCATGTCATTTTATGATGCCGTGACTATTTCCTGTCCAGTTCAGACCTAGACCAGAGCAAAGGAAACACTGGGGCAGCACACCTTCCCCGGAGAACAGCGTCCCTCAGCACATGCTGCCAACTCCACACTGGAATCAGTTCACACGGCTTCTGCCGGTGGCTGTCCCCAGGTAGTAGGGTGCCTGGACAGCCACGGTATTTCAGTGTCTTCTTTTCTGAAAGAAGAATTCTGTTTGATAATACATTCTAGAGTTCTTTACTCTATATCAGCTATTTGATATGTGTCCTTCAGAAATCTTGAAATTTCTAGAACACCGGACTGAAAATAGAAAGTAAACAAATGCTAGGGATCTTTTAATATTTAAAGGTAGGTAGGACACTAAATATAATGCACACCATAGTATTATTTTAAAATATGGGAGCACCTTATATAATACTTTAAAATACTACCCATAAAGAAAATGCAAATAAAAGATACCAACTTATAGTTGGAGTGTTTAGTAATCCTGGCATTTGATAGTCATTTTGAATACGGTTCAACACTGATTTTGGGCAAATTGTTAAATACTGATGTCTTAACTGTAAGTATATTTAAGAAATTATGAGCTTAAATAAAGTTCTGTATTAGAAGATTAACAGCAACAAATAATAGTACTTACTAAATAATCATAAACAACAATAATACAGATGTCAGTAGCCAAAGCATGGAACACACAGGAATAACAACAGTTAGTGATACAATATAGTACATATTCAGTGTCTCTTCCAGAACAGCGATTCTGACCTTTTCAGAAATCATAGAAGCCTTTGAGAATCTAATCTAAGATACACAGATCCTCTCTTACATGGGAGGTGGGAGGGTCAGGTTCATACAGCTTTGCATGTTTTTATTCACTAAAGTTTCCTAAAGCTCTTCTGTTAAACATTATCCATCACAGAAAGAAAATAAACCACATTTTTTAAAATGCTGAAGATAATATCATGACTTGAATGTAAGAAGTAAAAATGACCATGACCCATCAGTGAACTATAGCAGACATTCCTAGGCTTAGAAAATCTGACTTCTGAAGTTCTGTGTAAAATATGAGTCCTCTACAACTGTCAACACTCATCTGAGAATGTAAGAGCCTCCATCACATCATGGCTAAGAATATCAAAACAGTGTCTTGAATGCAAAGTTTTCCAAAAAACTAGCTAGTAATCCTGGCCAAATGAATGGTTCTTATTCAGTCCCCGAGAGCGGATTCTCATAAGTAGGTAACCAGATATCAATGTTGATACTACTTTTTAGTTTGTCATCTTTATTATGTGATTACTTAGTGATTAAGTATTGTGGTTAAACTTTTACTTTATTCCAAAGTAACTACTGAAGGTTCTTGTTTTCTAAATTCATTACCATTACTTATGGCTATAATCTAATAGATGAGAATATTAGATCAGCCCTGCCAATATGTTGGTGCGTGAAATAATTTATGCCCAGCTCCAACTAGTGAAGTACTTGGGAACGTATCTGCTGTTAAAGACACAGAAAAGTTTACTGTAAAAAACTTACTAATTTGCCTTTGCCATCTGTATGTATCATAAGCTCCCAATTTTAAAAATAGTGTGATATTTGCATTAATGTTAATTTATTTCCATTTTTTTCTACCTATTGGCATTTAAGAACTTAATATTGTTTAGATTATTTTTGATAAACTTTAATTTTGCAATATAATCTATTTTTTGTAGCAGCCTGTCATTCATCTTCAACTCTCTTAGGTAGACCTTTCGTAAACCTGAATGTGAACCTAGAATTGAATTTTTTTTTTCTTTTTTTGCTACCAGGGATTTAACTCATGACCTTACGCTTAACAGGCAAGTACTTGAGCCACTGAGCTAAATCCCTGGCCCTAGAAATGATTTTAAGCTCTTGTTGTTTATGCATTTTATTGCAAATACATTGAAAACAATATGAAACTATTCCCATTCCCACCACCCAAATCTTACCCTCAATTCTTTCTTTTGTCCTGTAGGGATTTGCACCCCTGAAATAATAATCTAGTCATAAGCCATTATGTCCGATGTAAGCAAACTGAAGTAGAACTTCATAAAGGGATTTTCTAAGGTCCTGTGGTGCCGACCAACACTCAGCACTTGTGACCTTCACTTGGGTCCTGGTTTCTCCCTCCCCTTCCATGTGTCTGCTTGTTAGCACCTCATTAGCTGCCTCCTCCTAACTGTGGCTCACTCCTACCCCAATCTGTGTGTGTGTCTGTGCTATCCCATGGCATACATTCTCTCCAGGTCACCCCAGTCCTTTAGTACCAGTTTCCAGGGCGTTCTCGCTTCATGAGGACACTGCGTACCTCTTGATCAGGCTGGGCGTGACCTGGCACTGGGTGCCTCTTGAGTTTGTGCGCTTGGCTGTGACCAGCCCGCTTGAAGTCTTTGGGACAGGTTCTGCTCTTCCTGTCAGATTCCATTTGCAGTTTTCCTCTTAGGAACAAATTTCTACAGTTGGTTCTCCAAAGATGGCCAAGACCTGAGAGTAATTCATGAAAATAAAGGAAAATTATCAAAGGAGATTTATAAAAAGAGAGTTTTAGGGGCAGAGATAAGAAGAATATTTGACAAGCATATTTACATTATTACAGTGATACTTTGTCATGAACTTAATTCTTCCCAAGATTCAGGTCTCTGGATTCATTCCACTATTCTGGGTATAACCAGAGTTTTCATCCAGAATCATGGCACTAATTTTGTAACCAGAACAATGGAAAGAATTAAGTTCATTAACCGGGGTACCACTGTATAATTGTTTGGTTTTGTGGAGCTAAAAAGGATCATCTAATCCAGCTCCTAAAGTTTATTCAGGTGAACTGATCTGCATAAAGGCCACATATTTGACGCAAGCTGGCATTTGTTTTAGTGCCAAATGTCTCCCTAAAAATCACATAACTGAGGCTGGTGCTTTCATTCTGGTTTCACAGAAGTTTTCTAACATACTGTATTCCTTGAATCATTAAAGTGAGTTGTGTAAATAGATCCTGTCTTTAATATATCTCAGACTAATAGAGTAACATTGTTTTTAGTCGTAGTCCTGTTATTAATGAAGTGTTTTGAAAAGAAAGAACAGTCAGGCATGATAGCACACACCTATGATCCCAGCACTCGGGAGGCTGAGGCAGGAGGATTACTGTGAGTTCCAGGGTAGCATGAGTTCAAGGCCAGCCTGAACTGCATAGTGAAACTCAGACTCAGAAAGACCAAAACAAACAAACAAATAAAAATGGAAAAGAAAGAGCGAATAAACTTTTAGAGAATTAGTGTTCAACTGCATTGGAAAGGAGACTTGGACTAAAAAGCTGAGATAGATTATGGGAATTTTTCTAGGAGGAAGTTTCCAGGTACAGCTCTCTCAGTGCTGGCTCAGTTAGTCAAAATGTCCCCCTAAAATCACACTTTTTCATTACATGGACTAAAATTTCTCCTTTAAAGGTACAGAAGATTACTGGATTATTATCAGTTATACTTCAGTGTGATGACTTAGCTATTTTTTGTATTTAAGGCGTATTGGGTTTGAAGAAAGGAATGTAAATTTAGGTCGTAACTGACTTTTTTGGCAATATTTAACAATATGCATTTGCCTAGGTGATGCTAATAATAAGAGTGGATGTGGGCAAATAACTCTAGATGCTAAGCATACCTGACGCAGTCCCTGTCTTGGGGGTGAACCTAACCTTCTGGTCCAGACTGACAAGCTGTTAATAAATCGGATCAGTAGAAGTGCTATTGACCAACCCTGTGACAGAGTCACAGGGCAGGGGGCCTGGACGAAGAAATAACGTACCCCATACAGCTGGGCTCACGTGGTGCAGGTGCCATGTTAAGAACAATTGACCCCGAGAATGGATTTTCACAGCATGGTGAACAGGATGGGTATACCAAGAAGTAGCAATTCTTATGAGTTCCTAATGTTCAGTTTCTAAGGAAACTGCAAACCGTGTCTTGCTGCTGCTAAGTTATGGGTTACTTACACTAGAACTCTTACTTGCAAAATTGTTTGTAAACGTGCTCTATTTAAAAATTTAAAACTACTGGCACCAGAAGGAAATAACTTTTATTAAGCGAATATAATTTTAGTATGCTTAAAAGAATCTAAAATATATTTTGCATTGTTTTCCCTAGGAACTCAGTAAAGATCTTCATTTTCACCAATTACACCTCCAGAATGCAGATTTGAAAGCACAGATTAGACATATGGTAGATCTTGCTTGCCTGCAAGAACAGCAATACAGGCAGACTGAGCTGTAAGTACACTGAGTTACCTTTCTGAGGAGCTGAAGACCAGACCTAAAGAACCCAAAACGTGAATGTTTACTTTCACACTGATGGAAAACTTGAGTTTTATGTATGTGGGGAGCATTACTTCCTAGTATCTGCCAGCAACAGAAAATCCTCAGTAAGAAAATTCAATATATGGGGCTGGGGATTTAGCTCAGCAGCACAAGTGCCTGCCTTGCAAGCAGGCAGTTGTGAGTTCGATCCCTGATACTGATAAAAAAAAAAAAAAAAAAAGAAAACTCAATATACAACTTGGAATATACAACTTGTGGTTTTTTTCCTGGTGCTAATTTTTTAAAGCATTTTTTCTTTAAAATGTTTCATTTTTACTAAATATATACAACATAATAAAATTTTTGAGAATTCTTATCCACTGAAGTAGATCTGACTACCTTTAGTTGAATTTACTTAGATGATTGTTGATTATTCATAATTATAAAATTATTTTGCTTTATTAAACCAAGTTGCTAAATATCAAAGGTCTTGATTTCATGTGATGTTCTTTTACGCTCCACTGGCGTGATAGTAGCATTTTAGTCATCTCATTCCAAAAAACAATTGTTTTTAAAGTGGCTTAATAGTTTTTCATCACCTCATGTGAATCAGTCAGCTTAGGCGTCGCTTTTGTGCTGTGTGAAATGAGAAGTTTTCTTCTCTAGGAACTGTCTTCCACTCTGTAAGTTTACGGTGTTCTAGCCTCCTCAGGTAACTGCTGATTATTTTTCTGTACTCTTCATTTATAGGAAACCATGTAAGTATAGCAATTTATAAAAAGAAAAATCCAGTAAGAGCTTCAAGGGATTTCCTTCTGTGGACGGCAGCGCACACCAGTCTGCCGCCTTGTGCTCCCTGCACTGCACGTCCACCTGTTGGCACTGAGACTGCCTGCAGAGTTCGTCAGACAGCAGACTTAATTTATTTTAGCCATACTATGTTATAGTATGCGACAGTGTGGCATAATGGGGAGAGCATGGGTTTTGGAATCAGTCTTGAACTCTTGCTTCTGTGAGCAATGCAGAGGCTGTATAACCTTGCCAAGCCTTCTGTCCTTACATGTAAAATAGATTGTAGTGCCTGTGCCATGGGTGCCTAATGCCATTTCAGGTTCCATGAGTGACTAACTCAGGACTTCTCATGTAATTGTGAGCTAGTACGGCAAGGGGACACAAAGTCAGCACAGCACAGGAAAGGGGAGACAGGCTGGACTTGGCAACGAGTGTCTTGCTTCAGTGGCGTCAAGGCTTGTGCTTAACTGCACCTTTAGAGATTATGGGAACATATGGGTGATGCCGTTTACCTTGGGAGCTCTTTTGAGACTCAGTGCCTCTAGCTTTTGTTGAGAACTGATCTTAATAAGCACCCTGTGCCTGGCATTACCAAATTCTAGACTTTTTCTAAAGAAAGTAGCACCTAACCTGTTTGGTTTGTGTCTAGTTATCCCCCCAAAGCCTTATGCAGGCATAGGGCTTTTTCAGAGGTGGCTGAGTCTATAGAGTGTGTGGTTACTAATCGATCAGTCTGCTGATTGGTTTGACACCTCCCTAATTCGGTGATCTAAAACTTACAAATGGTGGGCTTAATAGTTTCTTCCTCTGCCTTTAAATGTTGGGAATTTTGTCTCAGCAAGGAGAGAAAAGTAAGAGAGAACCACTCTAGCATGTCACCTCTGGACCTGCGGGAGACACTTAACAGCCATGTTGGAAGAGGCCAGCCTTAGGCCCACTGTGTTAAACTTCTGCAGGGTCCCCCCTTGCCAGGCTAGAAGCACAGGCGTACCCTGTCATAACCTCAGCAGGATACAGAGCCCCAGCTCTCTGGGCTCTTACTCCAGTGTCTGGTGCCTTCCTCAGGTCCTGTGTGGTTAGGCCCGTGGTGCTCTTCTCAACAGCTGCAGGCTGAGACTTTCAGTTTCAACACTGTGGTATCCTGGGACCAACCCTTGTGAGACACTGGCAGCAAAGAGGGGACAACTGTACCTCATTATTCAAGTACTCAATAATTAGTTTTTTTGTTTTTACTTTTAAATATTTTTTCTCTTTACATCTGTCCCATTATACATGTGGAAAGCTGGGTCCAGAACCCTCTGTGATACTCAGATCCACTCAAGTCCCTTCAAGATGATATGATGTTTGTACACATACATCCTTCTGTGTGCATTAACTTACCTCTAGGTCTTTAGAGGACTTAATATAATGGAAATGCTGTGCAGATACTTATACTGTGCTGTGCAGAAAATCCCAGCAAGGGAACAATTCTGCCCCTGTTTAGGATAAACCTCAGAGTATGCATATGAATGGGAGGCAGCCAGCGCTCATGTCAGGGCCAGAGGGTCGGAGAATCTGAGAACTGAGAGGCTGTAGCCACACCGCTTCTTTCCTGTGGGTATAGCATGGTGCTTATTGGGCCACTAGGTAAAGTTTTGCCATTTGGAATTCTGGATTCCTGGAGGTTTTTTGCTTTTGTGTTTAATATTTCTGATGTACTGTTGGTTGAATCTGTAGATAAGGAGCCCAAAGATACAGAGGCCCAGCTCTTGCTTGTTACCTGTTTGACTTACGTGAAATTCTACCTACCGACCTGCCAAAAGGAAAAACCACAGGCCATTTGTACTGCTCTCTAAACATTTTATATTCTGGAGTAATGGGCAGTTATTTCCTTGTATGTTAAAACTGATCATTTTCCCTCTGCTATGTTTACACTTCAAGTGGTTCTGTCCTTCTGGACAAGTCAGTTGGGACATCATCTGTTTTTTTTTTATTCTTTTATTTTTTGTCTTTTTCAGTTTTTATCAGTACCAGGGATCGAACTCACGACTGCCTGCTTGCAAGGCAGGCACTTACGCCACTGAGCTAAATCCCCAGCCCCCCATGACATCATCTGTTAAGCAGTGTCTCAGTGAACCAAAACTGAGCCATTTGAAGATCCTCATGTTGTTTGCTTCTGCTTTGCAGAATTTAGGAGTTATCAGTTGAATATATAAGTCAAAATGTTTTAGCACAAACATTTCTTCCAGAAATGCTTATACATTAGAACAGAAGTCTAATGCATAATAAAGTGCCATCATTGCTATTGACTGTCAGTGATACAAGAGATTTTGAATCAGAACCAATTATTCAAAGCCTTAAATACTCTATGTACAATATTCTTGTCTCCATCCTTTGTCATTGAAGCCCACTCTGAAAACCACTCCTTTTCCATCACTTAATGAAAAATTGGAATTTGTTCTGTTGTAATGTGTGTGTTCTTGAAGTTTTATACTGAAAACAAGATATCATTTGACACTACGTAGTGTTCAAGGGGTGAATGAAATACATAGTGAATGTCTATACTTTCCAAAACAAACTTACTATAATAAAAGACACCTTGTCACTAATCTCTCCCAGAACACTGCCCTTACTTCCTTCTTGCCACTTCCTAAAGCAGTTCTTGAAGTCCTCTCTCATGGGTGTCTTTACAAGGCATAATCAGAACAGCAGCGCATGACAACATCCCTGTGTCCTCATCCACCCTCCTCACCAGATCTGGCACCAGACAAACACAAAATGACCACACAAGGTAAACATTTTGAATTGATTCCAGATATTGAGGCAGCCAGGACAACGCAACTAAAGACACTCAGGAAAGAGGACTTCCAGAACTGCTCCAGAAAGCGGCAAGAACAAAAGAAGATGATGAAGACTACTTGAGAATAGGGCCTGGTTCTTACAGTTCCCATCTGAGATTGTTTCTGGTGTGTACTTTATGCATTAAGCTTACAGAGGTGTCTGACTGAAATAATACTGTCTAAAATAAAACATACTAATGATATGCTAATATTATAGATGTAGCATAAGAGAACTGTAAGTATTATATTTAAAAATTAGTGTTTGTCTCTCCTTTCTTCTAACAGAGTACTGAATGCTTTACTCCCAAGCCTAAAAAGACAGTATTGTGCATTGAAGGAAGCTGGCTTGTCAGATGATGCTTTTGAGGCTGACTTCAAAGAAATTGAACATTTAGTAGAGAGAAAAAAAGTGGTGGTTTGGGCAGACCAGACTGCTGAAACTCCAAACCACAAGGCCCTACCAGAGATTTCTGTTCTCATGAGCTTTCCCCAACTTGGACCTGTGCAGTCTATTCTCTGTAAGTACGGCTTTTATTTGATTAGGTAAACAATGACATTATTTCTGAAGGGATTCATTGATGCATCAGTCTACAGAACAGTTAGTCTTCAATATTCTTGGCTATTTTATGAAAATTAATATGGCAGTTAGCTTCAAAGTCATTTCCTGCTAACACATATCTTCCCAGGATCTAAGATAAGTATATCCTGCTATTCAGAATAGTTCTTGCAGTAAAACCCACTTACCCATTTTTGCTGAAACAACTTTTGTTCCCATTCTTCTTTAAAATTTACCCTCTATTAAAGATTAAAGTTATATTGTATTTAATAATGTATAATAATGTGTTCTTGAGATAACAATTTAGATTTTACTATTTTTCTTTTGGCATATCATTTTCTAGCTCTTTAAGATGTGTGCATGGGTTATGTTCATTGCAAAGCTAACATCTATGATCATGTTTAAAAATAATTCAGTGTAGAAAATAAGAAATAAAATGTAACATTTGGCTGACCTCACAGCCCCAATCTTAGGTTCTATCTTTAAGATAATTAATATTTAGTTAGCTTTGCTTTGTAGTATGGGGGTGTGTATGCATTTAAGAGAGAAAAACCCAAATATCTGTTTGTTGATTGGTTTGTACTTAAATGATAGCATGTTATACATAGTGGTCTGTCTTTTCATTTATTTAGTTCATTATGAATGGGTTTAGCCTACTTAAATGAAGAATTTACCTTTCTTTTTTTGTTTTGAGAATCCAAAAAATAGATGAACCGTACTTTCTTAACCAGTTTTCTATTAGTGAATAGTTCTTCAGAGAACATGCCCGTGCATTCCCATTTGCATGTATGTAGCAGATTCCTAGAAACTGACTTACCAAATTGGAAGGCAGATTTTTTTTTTAATTCATCCTCTATCAAATTGGTCTCCAAAAACAAAGGTGCTATACAGATTGAGGGGTATACCTACACCAAATATCAGAAATCTGAAATGCTCCAAAATGTGAAACTGAGCACTGGCATAAGCAAGACTCTTTTGGGTTTTTTGAGTGTCTACTATCTGGATTAGGAAAGCTTAACCAGTAAAATCTATGCAAATATTCCAAAATTAAAAAAAAAATAAAAATCTGAAACAATTCTAGTTCTACATACTTTGGAAAAGGGATCCTACAATCTGTGCCAGTGTATGTGAGAATACCTATTCATCTAAATCTGAACTCTTAATAATATCACTAATGGTAATGTAGAATCTCAAATTTGGTAACTCTTAGATTGCTAGCCAGGGGTGCTTCATCTGTTACACATCCTTTGTCACCTTGAGTTAGTGAAGTTATTTTATTTGTTTTGTATTTTTATTGTTGTGTGTTTTGGGCTTGATACTTAGCATATCATTAGTTGGTTGATTTGATGATGCTTTATCTGTATTTGTTATGGTGTGTCAGTACTGTAACCATACTGCACTTTTAACTGTTATAATCTCGAGTCTGCCTCTGTGTCCCGCTATGGAGTTTCCTGGGGTGTGGCCTCCCAAGGCTGTTTTTCCCTCTGGCTCCAGTGTGGCTGAGCCTTTCTCCCATCCTCTAACAACCGCAAGCACTCAGGAGCCACAGGAGCCATTGCAGAAATCACCGTCCTGAGCCTCCACCTCCCTCCTGATAGCTCTGTTCTCTGCGGGCTTGTTAGCAAGCCAGGGCCTTCCCTCCAGCTGGGGCTTTCTCTGGTGCCTACAGACTTTGGTTGTCTTCAGAGGAGATGTTGGCCTGAGTCAACTGCATCGTTACTAACAGCAGAAGAGCTCTATATTATATATTAAGGTGACAGGAAAGTTGGATACATTTCACTGATATAAATACATCTTCTTTTTCCTTTAGTAAAACACTGTCATTTGACTTGATCTACTTGAAACACTTAGCAAGTGAAATTTTTTTTTCAGATTCTATTCTTCCTTTGGGGCCTAATTCTTCTTTATAATGGATTCAAGATGTTGGAGAGGAAATAGGGTTTTAGCACCAACACTGAGAAACACTGGCCACCTGCTATTTGATGGTCATTACTCCTTATTTAAAAATCCATATCTCATGTACATTATAATTATACAGACTATACATGTCAGCAATAAAACTTTTGTTTGCCTCTAAAAGGAAAGACACATTGTATTTTATAAATAAGTACTCTCTATTGGGAATGTTCAGAGGGTGACTTTTGGCTGTATTATATTTAATTTTGGGCTTTTTATTTTACAATTTTGTTAAAATGACTTCATAGACTATTACTTATATGTCTTGTGCATCCCATGAATTATGTATGCCATATGCATTATGAATAGAGTCAAAGAATAACAAGAAAGATTCATATGAGTCAACCCATAAACACTTATTGTTCTTAGTCTTAGAATGCGGAAGTACCTTAATAGGAAAAAGCATACACAGCACAGTTCAAGTTTGCATTTCTAACGATGTGAAACAATAACCAGATAGCAGTATTGCTAAAATATTTTATTTACTAGGATATAGGAATGTTTTATTTGTTTGAGGGTCTATATTCTTTTCCATGATTTGCCCACCCTTCATTTGAAAATCCCCCTGGTATAGCTGTCTTCTGCAAAAATTATGGCTTATATGCAAGAGTTGAATTGTGAGGGTATCTGTTTATATCCTCAGCAGTACTGAGCTTCTCCTGTGTGCTGGGCACTAACTTCTTTACTATGCCACAGTACGGACAGACTCTCCTCTCCTCCCTTCTGCTTTCTAGTGGAGAAGGACACTAAGTACAATAAACAGAATCTTAGAAAGTAGTGTATGCTGTGCGAAAGAAGTAAAGAAAGCTGCAGAATGGTGGCAGGGAGGAGAATTCACTGCTTCAGAGATGGTGAGGTGCGTCCGTCTCCCTGGTAAAGCGTGGAGGATGTCCGGGAGAAGAATCTTTCCAGTAGAGGAAGTACGCAGTGCACAAAAACTATAACATGCGGATCTGCTGGCATTCCAAAGAGTGGCCAAGAAGGCGTGTGGCTATTACAAATCAAAAGAAAGAGAAAAGATGGGACCATGGAAACAGGGGAGAAAGGCAAGTTACAGATAGCCTTGCAGGTCTGTGCAGGGAAGCTATTGAGAGGGCAGAGTCCAGAGTTTTTTTGTTAGTTGAATTGAGTTGGTTGGTTTCACTGTGTAGAGCAGGCTGACCTTAAACTCATTGCGTAGCCCAGGCTGGACTCAGATGCATGATGATCCTCTTGCCTTGGGCTCCTGAGTGTGGGGATCACAGGCCTGCACCACCACACACAGCTCCAATATAGTTTGGAAGTAGAACCAGCAGGATTTGCTGACCTTGGCTTTGGAATAGAAGAGAGAGTTCTAGGACCGCTAAGGTTTTTGAGATGGACATCTAAAAGAAAGGCCTGACCTTAAATGAGATGCACTGGATGAGGTGGTTTGCAGAGTAGAGGTAGCAGAAACATGGGGAATTCCGTTTCAGGCATGTGAAATTTGTCTGAGACACATCCAAGTGGAGACCTCATGTGGGCAGCTAAGTGGCACTGGATTTGACGATGTTAACATTTAGGTGATATTTAAAGTCTGTAGACTAGATGAAATCACTGGATCATTAACTCTTTCTTGTAACATACATAGTGCCATTATAACCTTCCTGGAAAGTTCATCATTTCCTCTTCACTTTCTCTGGAAATGTCCATTTTAGTGCGAAGTTTTCAAACTTCTGTGCAATAAAACTTACTTTTTCACAGTGCCTTACGAATCATTTCTCAAAAGGTCCTTATCCGTAAACTTTGAAATTTTCTCTCTGTTCTCTAAATTTATTTTGATATGAGATGACTAGCAAGAACCTGACTTTCTTTCTGAGTAGCCTGCCTCTTGGCATGTGTTTCCACACTTGCACACGTCTCACCCATGCAGCACCCTTACGTTCTATACACTGAACACAGTGATGCCTCGGTTCGCAAACTTGATTCTTTCCACCATTCTTGACACAAACTGAATTAAATGAGAATTCAGTCGATTCAGTGGTTAGGTTCACTGTTGACCTTACAGGGAAATTTGAAAAGAATTAAGTTCCTGAGCCAGCACTACTGTAGTCATGTAATTGTGTTTTTGAATTTTAATTCTGTACTTTCTTTCGCCTATTTGTTTCTGTAGGGCTAGGAGTTAATATTTTAGTACTGCATACATTATAGTATTTTTTTTTATCTGTAGTGGACCTAGTACTCCAATTATTCTTGGTTTTTAAAATACTCTTTGGTGTATCTACAAAATAAACTCTAGAAATATCTATCTTAATAAACTTCTATTCTTATTTGGAAAAACCCCAATTTTTAATTTTTGTCAATTTTGTACTTTGCCAGTATGAATGCTGTGGATTTAGGATCTGTGTTTGGTTGTGTGTCTGCTGACCTACGGTAAAATAGGCACCGTTGCAGGTTTGGAACACAGCGAGCTCACTCACCAGTGCTGGGTGGGATGCGAGTGCCATCAGCAAGTTTATTTATGGAACTGATAAAATTTCTGACATTAAATGAAAAGTCAAGATTTCCTCATTATCCATCTGGAAACTCACATTTAGTAATATTTCTGTCTCTAACCTTTCCTGTTTTTTTAAGTTTTGCAGCCAATGTCAGTAGTTTATATCTTAAAAGCACAATAAAATACCCTAGTAGAAACCAGCCTGTATAGTACAGATATTCTGGTTGAATATACAGTTCTTGAATATGAAATTTTAATTTTCCTTCAAAGTACTCAAATACAAGGGAATTTTATGTTAAAAAATGGGTAATCTCTGTTCTACTGTTTCATATAACAAATACAAAGTAATAAAAAATTTTAAGCTAAATCTTCCACATTTTTCCCCACTTGGCAACAAAATGGAATTGTTACCAATAGCGTAAGTCATGCTAACGGCCCTGGATGCCGTTGGTTCGACCCTTATTCCCTGCATACATAAGCTAGTGTCTGGTTACTCATCTGCAACTGCAAATATTGCTGTAAATTAAAGGCTCTTCACATTGTCCCTTTTT